AAAACAGAATCAAACCTCTGTTAGGAGCATAAAGAATTTTCCCAACTGGGGTTCTGCACTATTGTGATTGTATATTAATAATTTTCTGTCTGATATAAATTCCATAAAATACAGAAAGGTGCCATTTTATTACCTAATAAGTTAAATAATGATACTAAATATAACTGAGCGTGGATCTGTCCAGAGAGAAAAGAGGGAAGGAGGAGAGGACGTGACTAACAAAAGGTCACACCCCAAAGCTTCACCCATCAAGGAGAAGATAGGGAAGTCCCAGGAAGGATTCAGCTGTCACTAAGGTGAAGGAAGAAGAAAGGACCAAATGCCAGTCAGCCAATTCCATAATGATGCCCACTGGAATTACACATAAATGTAATGGAATATTTATGGGCTTTAAGAAATGATGGCTATAATGAATACAAACTGATGTAAAATGATCCAAAATGAAGTGGAGAACTAGGAAAACAACATACACCATGACTCCAACAATGCAAATAAAAACAACAACAAAACAATTCAAAACCATGTGCTGTGGGATCATACTTGGTCCCAGAGAAGAGACATGAGAAAGCGTCTCATTGCCCTTCTTGGTGGGGGTGGGGGGAAGATACAGGTGTGGAATGCTGCTTGTAACATCAGAATTCTTGGGTATCATGGTTATTTTTCCTTAACTTTATTTTTCTTGCCTCATTAATATTATTTGAATCCTTTTTATGAGGGATCGCTCTCTCAGAAGGGAAAGGATACATTGGTGAAATTTTAAAATGATATTAAAATTTATTTTTTAAATAATATACCTTCTGGTATTTTGGTATCAACTAAGTGAAAAATCATACATTTTTAAAGTCTGAATTTTTTAAGCCTTTATTTCTAATTGTATACCTTTGGTCTGGTTCTGTCTTTTTCAAATGATATAGCAAATTTGCAATCCCTACCTAGAAAATTGTTCTAAGATTTACCTTGTACTTTATGTAACATCCGCATGGCCAGAGGAAGACCCACAAAGTTTTGTTTTGAGGTAGGTTACAGAAAGTCTCCTCCACTCCAGCAAACTCCTGGATGCAGGAACAATTCCTTCTGTTTGGCCATTGGTCCTGCCTGTCTTTCAAGGCTGCCGTTGAAGGTTTGCTAACCATAACTACTCATTACATCATTGGCTCCATTCTGTAAAGCCTACTCTATTTCCTAGTGCCCCCTGGTTTTAAAGTGCACCTGATCCCAGGACTCAGGGGCTGGATACTGTATAAGAGAAGGGAAGAATATTCTACAGGTAGCAGGAATCACAAGAAATGAAGACCAGCTCTGCCGTGAAAGGGAAAAGCGTTGTGTTCCCTGGAAATCTTTTTTTGCTTAGTTTTTATAAGATAGATGTGCATGGAGTTTGGACTCGGTATGCAGAAACCCCTCATGCCTATAACATCAGACCCATAAATTCATTGGTATATGGGACTCTGCAGATTAGCATCTACTCGGCAATTTACAATTTTAGTGAGTCGCCTAGGACAGAAGATGCTTAAGCAACCAGATGTATGAGTTAAAAGTGGGATCAGAACCCAGATCTTCCCAAGACTCTATCCCACTATGACACATGCTTCTTGTCAATTCTCTGCATTTAAAACATTCAAAAAATAGATCTTCCTCAGGAAATCACAAAATCTTGGAAGTTAGAAGTTAGAATCAGAAAGTTAGAAAGGGATTCAGGAGGCGTTTAGTCCAAACCACATCTGACCAAAACTTGCCCCTACTACATACTTATGTGGCCATCCCGACTTCCAATGCATTCTAATAAGAGGAATTGTGTGCCTTTGCACTGCTTATCCCCCAAGCCTAGAAAGTTCTCCTGCCTCACCTCTGCTGCAGAGACCCTTTTCCTTTAAGACACAACAGAAACACTTATCTTTGGAATAAGAGCTTTCCTGATTTATCTCCTTGATTTAGCACTCCAAAAAAAAGACCTGCTAACTATTTATTCACTTTATACTATGTATACTTGATTCATTCCCATTAAAATATAAGCTCTTTTAGGGTACGGATTGTTTCATTCTTTGTACTTGTAATCTTGGTGCCTGACACTGGTGTTTAATAAATATTTGTTGATTGAGAAACCTGCTACTTCCTGAAGCAGTCTTTACTACTTCTGGATTATTTTCCATTATATTGAGACTAAATCTGCCTTTTGCACATTTGCACACATAGCTCTTCCATCTGCCCTCAGCACTAAGAAGAATGGGGCTCATCCATAGATATGTGGAGAGATATGGGATTAGGAATACGAGAGTTTGATTCCTGTTCCCAGATACTCACCAGCTGTGTGACTCTGCAAAAGTCACTTAATTCTGCTTAGTCTCTATTTCTCATTTGTAAAAAAAGGCACAATAATAGGACCTATATCACAAGGTTCTAGTGAAGATCAAATGAAATAATATATGGAAAGGTGCTTGGCAAACCTTAAGGATCCAATGCTAATTATTATTCCATATGGCAGCTTTTCAAAGACATGAAGCATGATTTCTCTTTGTCCTTTTACACCAAAATGCATGAAAAATCAATTCATTCTCACAGAATTATTTTTGGAAAGCCAAGTCATATCATGTTGAGGGGCATCCCCAAGGAATAAGTCTACCAGTGAACTATAACCAGCAATAGTAAAGGGAGAGAGAATAGCTTGGGATGGGAAAGTTAGCTGAATATGCCATTCACATGAGAGGAAACACACAAAGAAGGCATAGACTGAGGCTCTGAACAGGCATATTGGCTAGTGATCGCCCAAATGTCACAAAATAATAGCAGAGGTGTTTTTGGGTAGCAAAAAAACTAGAAACAAAGTAGGTGCCTGTTGATTAGGCAATTTCTGAATCAACTGTGATATATGAAGGTCACTGAATTTTATTGTGTCTTAAGAAATGCCAAAAGTGAGGAATTCAGAGAAACTTAAGAAGGCTTATATGAATTGATACAGAAACATGAGAACATGTGCATGAAAAAATAATAAAACAAAGTTGGATGATGTCTAATTGCAATGTTGGCCCTGGGAGAAAAGATAGGGTCCATTTTGTCCCACTGTCCTTTTGCTAAAGCAGTGGGGGAAGACAGCTGTAGAATGTTGCATATACTGTCAGATATAATCTCTGTATTGATTGGTTTTGCCTAACTGGTCTTCTTTGTTACAAAGGAATGGTAATTGTGTTGTTGATATAAAAACAAAAGGCAATAATAAAACTTTAAAAAATGCTCAGCCCCAAGATATAACTTTGATGTACAAAAATACATTTATTTTCAACAATTTCAAAACCACTGCCTTTTTTTTTACAGTAGAAATATTCAAATGGAACAATAAAACCAAGAACAGTATATATACATATACTGTATATATAGATATGACTCATGCATTTGTATTCCAGTGTTTAATACAAGTATTGCAATTGTCTGCTCCAATTAACCCTTGAAACAAGAAAGTGGGGTGCTTATAAACATTCCTAATCTTTTCAAAGAAATGTACGGATGGATGCTCTATGCTGCTGTAATCAGCCAATGACATTCTTTCAGATGTCTCACATTTTTCATAGAGGGTGGAATGTGAAAAAAAATATCCCATAAAGATCATTTTCCTTTTTACCTTCCATGAGGACTATCCTATGAATATATCCTTTTTAAAACAAATGTTTCCATCTTGCCCCCCTGAAAAAATAACAGAGTTTGGGCTAGGACAATCCAAGGGTAATGGAACTAGGGTAGGCAAATGTGTGAAGCAGGGAAAATGAGAATGACTGCTAAGCTCACACCACCACCCACCCCCCTACAGATCCAAATTATCTAAAGGGAACTAAAGGCAGACACTTGACTTTAAGGAGGGTGCATACTCCTGACAATGAGATATCACAGCGTTGCAGAGTTGACTAAGATCATCAGACCACTAGATTGCTATTTGGCCTATAAAATGTACATGGGCCAGACCCATGCTACCAATCTACTAACCATTGCCATTATCTACCGAGATCCTAAGTGCCCAGAATATCTTCTCGGACTGAGAGAGCACATTCAGTGTGCCCTCATAGGCAGAAGGAATTTGAATCATAATTTCCTAATATATTTCACAATCAGGCTGATTTCCTATCAGGCAATGCTGTCTTCTTACCCTGATAAATCAGTGCTTTGTGGAGGGAAACCTTTATGTTAGGTAACAGCGCACTTGTTGAGTGTATCTTGAAAGCCATGCTATGCCATCTGGGGAACACAGAGAACTCTGCGTATTGCAATGTCACTTCATTCTAATCTTTTCTATCTATCTAAAAGAATTCCCCCTTTTTATATACAGAATAGGAAACAGCTATGTTGTGGACACAGAGATGAAAGAGTTAAATGTGACAGACAACTGGACTTGGTCCAGAATTCATACTTGCCAAACAGGCTTCTGGTGGATTTGTCCATTTTAAGTGTGAGTGTGTGTGTGTGTGTGTGTGTGTGTGCGCGCGCGTGCGCACGCACGCGCACACCGAGTTTCTTCCTTTTTTCTTTTTCTTTTTTTACTAAACATTAAATTATTTCCCAGGAAATAAAAAGCTATTTACATTGGTGTTATCTACAATATGCTGTCCTTTTCATCATTGGTCTCTTCAGTGTTGACATGCACCAGGCAGGGCCTCTCAAAAGGATGCCGCCTGCTTCTGCAAGATACTTCCACTCCCACCGGGGCCCAGCAGAAGCAGACTAGATCATGGGTTTGTGTCTGTGTGGTTTGGTGAGTTTGTGTGTGTAAAAAAACAACAACAACAACAACCAAAACAAGGCAGAGCCCAGGAGGACATAGAAAGTCCTGCTTTTGAGCTGCCACTGGCAGAAGATGGCACAGAAGCAGCAAGAGGAGAGCCTTCCACCATGACAGGAACACAGTTATTGATTCTTGGGACATTTTAATTGGTTAAGAAGGCCTTTCTCCAATGTCATCTGTTCGTGAAGGGGACTCTGGGGTAGAAGAGGATTAAAAAAAGGATAGTTTTCTTTCCCCTCCCCCATAATAATAAGAACAATAATCATCAAGAATAAAAAAAAATGTCAGAGAGGTTGTAGACCAAGTGGCTTCTCCGCATTAAACACTAGTGCAGTTGGGGATTTCCTTTGTGCTTCCGCTGTTGGTAATGGTGGCAACACCACCTGCAGGGGTGATAAGACATGCAAATAGAGAGTCTCAGACAGGTAGTCAACAACAACACTTCTCATCTCTGCCTGACATGGATGGTTAAGAACTACAGACTTTAGCAATACATGTGAACAAGGAGGCATGGGGGAGAGCCAGCTCCGTCGTCTTCCCCCCAGCCTTTCTGTATCTTCACCCTATTGCAGCAGCTCCCTTTTGTGAGGCAATCCTAACTGCTTTCCTCTCGAGATTTGTCCATGAAGTATTTTTCACCAAATAGTCTTTTGGAATCTAACATGAGAAAGATTTGTTCCTATCATTCAGAATCCCTAGAGTGACTCAGAAATTTAGGGTCTTTACTTCTTTCCTAAGAAGGGGTTCTCACTCTCTCATAAGACATTTGGAAACCATTTATGTGGAAGATATGTCAGTTGCCACATTAAGAGAAAGGGAATCTAGCCTCCCTATATCTGAAAGAGGCAAATGTCCTAGAACTACCGAGACCCTAAGTGCCCAGAATATTTTCTCAGACTGAGAGAACACATTCAGTGTGCCCTCATAGGCAGAAGGAATTTGAATCATAATTTCCTAATATATTTCACAATCAGGCTGATTTCCTATCAGGCAATGCTGTCTTCTTAGCCTGATAAAGCAGTGCTTTGGGGAGGGAAACCTTTATGTCAGGTAACAGTGCACTTGTTGAGTGTATCTTGAAAGCCATACGATGCCATCTGGGGAACAGGTGAGAACATCTTGTCCCACCTTTCTGTGCTCAATTTATGTGATTAGGATCAAAGATGGAGGGCTGGAAGGGATATCAGAGGCCATCTAATTCACCTTTTCTTTTTTAATTTTATAGTTGAGAAAACTTAAGATGAAGGAGGTTAAGTAATTTTTTTGTTTTGTTTTGTTCAGTCATTTCAGTTGTCTCCAGCTCTTTGAGACCCTATTTGGGATTTTCTTGGCAGAGATACTAGAGTAGTTTGCCATTTCCTTCTCTTGCTCATTTTACAGATGAGGAACTGAGGCAATGAGTGACTTGCCCAGGGTCACACAACTAGGAAGTGTCTGAGGCCAGGTTTGAACTCAGGAAGATGAGTCTTCCTGGCTTCAGGACTTGGCGCTCTATCCACTGTGCCACCTATCTTACCTAAGTGATTTGCCCAAGGTCAATAAGTAATAGAAACATAACTTGAACTTGCCTTCTTACTGCAGAGTCAGTGCTTTTGATTATTTTCAAGATATATATAGATGATGGATAATTTGTATTTTTTAAAGGCAGGGGTCCTCAGGTGGCATGGGAAAGAGCTTTCGTTCAAAAATAATTATCACGCCAGTGTACCCAATATGTATCACCTTCTTTAAAGAAAACAAAACACAACAAAAATGATAAAAGCATTTTGCAAATAAAGTTTAGGGGCCATGTTGTTGTATCCCCAGAGTCCATTAGAGTAGCAGGAGAAGTCATTTGTGTTAGTGTAAGGGCTCAGTCAAAGTTGTTTAACTACTGTTGCACTCCCAACACCTTGTCTCGGGCAGCTAGGTAGCCCAGGGAATACAGCACTCACCCTGGAGTCAGGAAGACCTGAGTTCAAATCTGGCCTCAGACACTTAATAGCTGTGTGACCCTGGGCAAGTCACTTCACCTTTGCTTGCCTCAGTTTCCTCATCTGTAAAATGAGTCAGAGAAGGAAATGGCAAACCACTCCAATATCTTTGCCAAGAAAACCGCAAATGGGGTCAGAGAGAGATGGACATGATGGAAATGACTGAACAACCAACCCATTCTCTTGACTATTGCTCTCTAGTTTTTTATATAGGGAGAATGAGGCTTCTTTGGGTTAACTAGCCCGTAAGACAGTGTTGTCAAACTCAAGTAGAAATGGAAGGCTACTAATCCATACATAATGATCTCTGCAGACTGCATAGTCTTTAAAATGTAATGGTATCTGTTTTACTGCATTTTTATTTATTTTGTTAAATATTTCCCAATGACATATTAATCTGGTTCTGGCCACAGTGGAGAGTGCTGTGGGCCATAAACGGCCTGGGGGCCCTCTGCCATAGGAGATAACTTGACTTAAGTTTTAGGTGTAGGACAGGATGTAGAACACCTTTACCTATGACCCGTGTGTCCAATTCTTTGTCCAGCAGCTCCTCGGGCTCTGTAAAGTCACTGAGGGTGATTTTGGGAGCATTTTCACTTTGGCTCACTGACCCAATCATCTCCTGCTCCTTGTCATGTTGAACTTGGGCATAGATATTAATCCAGGGAATTTTCCTGTGGTGACATGAAAGAGTAGTAATACTTCTTAGTAGGGCAGGTTAGTAACATAGTGAGCAAATCAAAGCACAGAACTCTTTTTCTTCAGAGAGAAAGCTGGGCGGACAGAGAAAAGCTTTATAGAGTTGATAAAAATCAAAGCTGGAAAAAGACCATCTAAAGATTTGCTTTGAATGCAAATTCTTCATTTTGCAGATGAGGGAAACAGAGTGGGAGTTTATAGAATAGTGGTAAATTTAAACCCAGATCTTCTCATTCCACATTCACCATTCTTTCCAGTACACCATCAGAAGCACCCCCAAATGGATCACCAGCTGCATAGACAAGCCCCTAGACTCCACTTCAGACCCCCAATCTCCTACCCTCATGGTCTGTGGTTATTATATGTTAATAGAAAAGAGTAAATGGCCCAAAATGTTTGAGATAATGTAATCACACTGGCTTTTTAGGACGGAACCAAATACAGCTGGATCAGAGCACCAAGGGAGCTCAGAGACCTAACCTAGACCTGGTTTTACCCCTGCATTTTACAGATAAACAAATTGTGATGCAGAGAAGGGACTGGTTTTGCCCAATATCACATTTTTTGTTAGTGTCAGAGCTTATTCTAGACCCTGGCTGGTCCTCTGACTTCCAAAGCAAAGGTAAATTCCTCCAAAATAAGTAGAGATCTGTTGTACAGAAAAAAATGTACTAGTTAAGATGAAAACTATGTCTTTGGTGGCACAGTGGTTAGAATGCCAAGCCTGTAGTCAGGAAGACTCAACTTTGTGAGTTCAAATTTGGCCTCAGACACTTACTAGTTTTGTGACAAGTCACTTAACTCTGCCTCAGTTCCTCATCTGTAAAATGAGCTGGAGAAGGAAATGGCAAAGCACTCTAATATCTTTGCCAAGAAAATGTCAAATGGGGTCACGGAGAGTCAGACACCACTGAATAACAACTGTGCCCTCCCTTAAAGCCAGATCCACAGTTTTACACTAACCTTTTACTGAAGCTGTCTCAGGAAACAAATGGATGAAAATGTTTAGATAAACCAAATACATTCTATCAGCCTCTCCTTTGGGCTGAAGGTAGGTTTGTCATATGTAGATATGTCTTTTTCAGATCTATGTTTGTTGATGGACTGACCTATCCCTGCTCTTTTAAAGTGGGTCAAGAGATTCAGGCTTCAAGGGCCCTAATGAGGAGGCAATGTGAGAGGCTGCAAAAGGCAAATTTCTAAATGCACAGAATTAAAAATTCATGCTAGCCCAGGCTGCTTTCTCCTTATATAAACAAAAAAAACTGCATTTTATGATGGAGATTCTGTTTAATCATAAAAGTCCATATTGTTCATCTACTCTAGGATGACCATATTTAAAATAGAGGCTCCCCCTCCCATTTATTATACTCTAGGGCAGCTGAAGCTCTTATCTGATCATGTGACTCAATGCAAAGATGGGAAGGTGTCTTAACCAGATTTTCCTTTGGCCATTTCCCAGTTTGCCCAATGATATGATGAAGGCAGAAAATTCTATTTACATGTCTGCATAGTGCCACTACCTTGGATGGAGTGCTTCAGCATTTTGTTTACATTTTTTTTTCAATGGTCTTGGAACACTGGAAGAAAAAATATTAGCTCATTTTGCAGAAAGATTAGAAGACTTGCCTTAGGTCAGCCAGCCACTGAATGGCAGACAGAACTGGAACTTGGCTCTCCTGAGACAGAGCCTGATGCTCTTCTCATTAATTTCCAGCTAACAAACATTATTTTGGTTTGTGTCTCATACATAATGTGTCTAGAGACCTTCAGAGATGTTTCACGGATAGTATTAGACAGTGAAGTAGGCTATGGAAGTAAGATTACAATGGCAAGGTCATGCTGGTAAAACCTCAAAATATCTTAGCTGCTTCAAACATTTTCCCGAGAAATTCGATGTCTTAGTAGGATGAGTATAGTTCTCTGAGAGAGTGAATATCCTCTTGGGCAGACCTTAGGGAAAGGCAAGATCATGTTTGAGCCTTTGTTTTATATTATTATTTCTTGGGACAGAAGAAAGTAACAGCCATGTTATTGGACGTGGATAGATGGGGTACAGCAGTCTTACAAATCTAAGTGTAGTTAGCGTTGGCAATGTGGCTCAGCCCTTCTCCTCCTGTTGGTCAGCCCCTGGGGGCAATGATCAGGTTGCTGCAAAGAGAAAGGTTTGATTTTTGAAAGCACAGCCAAGCCAATGATCTGGAAAGCTCAATTTCCCCAGAAGATACAGAAGCAAAGGCTGTGTCCACCAGCCGGGCACTCACAGCCACTGTGATTCTTTGTGCCTAATAGAACTGAAAGATTTACAGATGCAGCTGACCTGGCAGGAAGACAGAAAAGAAAGGAGGCATCCAGGGGTGGGAAGTAGGCCTGAAGCTTTGGCTAGTGTGGGGAGTAACTCCAGAAATCTTTGATAGTCAAGAAAAAGTGTGCAGATTGCTGGTTACTTTTGAAAAAGTCCGAGTTTATTGCACTGACACTGTAGTTCTCATGTAGCCCCATAGTGAATTATGGATTGCTTGGCACCTCCAAAGAGAAAGAATTGCTCCTGAAGTGGTATTCAGAGAAAGAGAATTTACTGTATATAGTGCTACCTCAATTAATGGAGCTCATTTTAAGGAAGTCAGTAGTGTTCAGAGTAAAAGCAAGAAGGAAAAGAAGTGGAGAAAAAATCTTAAAAGGAAATCTTTATAAATCACAGGACTCAGCAATACTGTCCGACATAACAAAGGTACCTCCAGGCACTGATTCTATTTGTCCTAGCCCTAAACTAAGTCTTCAGGTTTTTTTTTTCTTCTTTTTTTCCCTAGGCTCTACTTCCTGTATCAGTAAAACCACTCACTCTCCCTTTTCCCAATTCTTTCCCTTTTCCCTCATCAAATCAAAGAAAGATCTGATAAATTTTCATTTATATGTGCTGACTAATTTAACTAATAAGCTGAAATTCAATGGGGCATTTGAAGCCTTTTTGCCTTCATTGTGGAAAGAAAATTTTGGTCCTTTGTTAAAAACACTTCAGGCTCCAGCACTTAGGTGACCAGATCTGAGGGGAGGGGAAATAGATTAAAGCCCTGAAGGTATTCTAGGATGGCCGAGGGGGCAGCAGGGGGGATTCGGGGTGAAGGTTGGGGTCCCTTAGTCCCTATGTCCTGCAGTTTCCTGGACTCAACCTACATAGAACCTGCCCTGTCTCCTTGCAGTGCCTGGTAGCACTTGTGACATTATTATTTAATGATTTTTCATTCTGTAGTCTTCTCCCTGTTCCCCACCCCCCTCCCTCACCTTAGATGCCGCATGCTACCTATTTTATTTCTGCCTCTGGTTGTGAAGTTTCTGCCAAAGGGGTTAGTCGGTGGAAGGCATCCTTCTTGCTAATAGAAGGACTTAACAGTTGAGGACTAATAGAATAAAAATATTGATTATAATTTCACGTCCTGAAGTATCATTTTATGACACCACTCCCATTGCTTTCAGAAATTATTCCTGAACACATGCAGGATTGTTTTTTTTTCCTCCCTAAGTTTTTAAAAGGAAATTGATTAGGAAAAACTGAGAGACGGAAGGTGGGTATTTTTAGCATGTGAATGTTAACTGAGTTATTGCTCGGTTAAATTTGTGAAGTGAGACTTTTTTTTCTTTAAAAAATCATTTAATGCGTGAAAAGCTATTTCCTGCTAGAGCCTCCCAGGTCAGTTAGGGATCATTCTGAGGAGTGAGAACTTTCAGTTGGAAGGATGTGTGGCTACAGAAATGAACTTGTATATCAAAGAGAAATAAAAACAAATGAGATTAATCTTTTTTCAGATTTTTCCTTTTGCTTCTTTATACTTCACTTGGAGCAAAGAGACTACTCAGTTCACTAATCATTTACCCAGTTCATCCATCCACCCATTCATCCATCCATCCATCCATCCATTTATTCATCGATCCACTTATTCATCCTTCCATTCATTTATTCTTTCATCCATTCTTTCAACAAGTAATAATTTAAGTACCCACTAGGGCAAAGATAAATAAGGCAGGAAATCTAACCTCAAGGAGCTTATAATTGAACCAAGTTAGACCAACACAAGGCTGAAGTTAATTGAAGAACATAGAAAAACAGATTACAGAAAAGTCCAGCTGTGACTGCCATCTACTCTAACACATTGTGTATAATTACCAAACAAGTAGTCCATTTGACTGGGCTGGGCTGGGAGGGGAGGTAGGGTCTGGGTACAAGGAAGATGAGGACTCACCTTCCCCCCACTCCATACCCAGTTACCAGAGTAAAAACTGAAAGTGGTTGGCACTTACCTTTTAAACTTATAGATCAAGAAGACAGCCAAACCCACAAACACCACAGACAAAAGCATCAACATTGCTGAGCTGCTATGCCCTGTGCTGGAGTCCACAAGCGGGGCTGAAAGGAATAAAAAAAAAAAATACTAGGAAGTTCTCCATAAATGTTCTTATCTGGAGATGGGGGAAGGGGAAAATGGGAGCAGTGCCAGCCCTGCCCTGACAAAGGAAGCCAATCAGTCAGGGGTTTTCCTTAACTGGGTGGTATCTGTTGGCTCTTAGCACCTCACCTGCTGTTTGAGCAAAGGCAATTCATGCATACAAGCTGCATTTTGTTTTGAGCTCATGGCCTCCATCAGGGAGAATGCGATGGGCCACTGTTTCTCAGATAAAGGATCACGGCAGACTCTGTTTGAGTAAATTCACTGTTCTTTAGGAAATCTATGCCCAGCTGAGGAAAGTGGGAGGAAGGCTGGAATGTTCTCTGTCTGCTCAAAGTGCTTTGGGACGATTATTGTGTACAGTAACTTAGGGCATTCAAGGTGAAATAATAATGAAATATTTCACTTGGTTTTCTCTATTGAATCCTCATAAGCACAGCTGCTCTGGTGCTCTGAAAGCCTCCACATTTGGGCTATAGGGGGCACTCCATTCACTGGAATGATTTAAGGATCACAAACTCTCAGAGCTGACCATTCTGAGTCAGGGAGAGGCAGGCATATGGCAGGAGGGACCCAATTATCACTATCAAGCTGGTCATCTACATTCTCCATTCCTTAAAATGACTGAGCTTTAGTCCACCTCTACCCAGTATTTATGGAATATGTTGATCTGGAGGAGACCTTAAATATCAACTCACCAAATGGTCTCAATTTATAAGCAGAAGCCTAGAAAGCAATGATATTGCCCCAAAGACACACAGCAATCTGTTTACTTAACTTATGATTCAGTATTTTCTCTCTATCATGTTATTATTCACACGTGGTTAGGATTTTTATCAGGTCACTAAAAATGAAGGCATCTTTTAGAACCTAAGGAGAAAGGCTTTTACTTTCTTTTCCTTTTAAGGATTGAAAATCACAGCCCCGCAGCACGACCTCCCCTTCTCTGTGAGTACTCACCTAATGTCAACTGAGTGACATAGACGATGACTTGGACCCCTGGCTTTAGCTCAAACTGGACCAAGTTCTGATTTAGAGCATTAAACAGGAGTTCTGCAATCTGCAAAATAAAAGCATAGAGAAGTAGATGGGAAAGTAATAGCTTTTCTCTTTCACTAGGTGAGGATTCAAAGAAGAGAGAGAAACCTCTCGTTAACGAAAAAAAAAGTTCAGAGAGCGTTTTGATAAATTTGTGACTTTTGGAGCTATAATTTGGTATCATAATCCAAAGAAAGTGCTTTTATGTAGATTTTCTTACTCTGTTATAACATGATATAAGGTTTATTTGATCTGATTTCATGTAGGTAGGTAGTAGTATCCCCACAATCAAGACCAAGAAGTATAACCCAGATTACACAATGAGTTAGGATCAGGACTTGAACTCAGGTCTCAACTCCTGACTTAGTGCCTTTTCTAGCCCACAATGCTGGTGGCCCTTTGCTACCTGATTTCTACAACCACATAGACCTAGAGCTTGGGTCTACTGCGGTATCACTGTTGGTGTGATCAAGGCCTTGGGGAGTAGCCTAAGGTCAAACAACTTATCGAGCCTATCTGTGACTTTCAAGGAATACCTTCACTATAGGTCATAGGATCATAGGCTTAGAGCTGAAGGAGACCTTTGAAGTCACTACAGTCACTGCCTTTATTGTATAGATGGGGAAACTGAGGCTGAGAGAGGTTAAGGGACTTGGGCAGGTTCACACAGACTGAGGCCGGATTGAAACTCAGGTTGAAAGTCAGGAAGACTCTAAGTCTTCAACTGTCTCTACTATCCATCGCTCTACCTAGCAGCCGGTGCTTGTCAAACCATCATCAGTTCCTCCGACTGTACCAAGTGGGTACAATACAGCAGAGGAAATATCCTGAAGAGTTCTGGAAACACAAAGCACCTTCTCGGTGTCCTCCTCTCCCCACCCCCACACCCCATACCCAATCATTGACTGATGAACAATGGGGAGCGGAGCAGAAAAAAAGCTAAAGCCTGCCACCAAAAACTTAGGAATAATTTTTCCTGCTTCATTTTCTCCAGCAGGCCTAAGTATGTGGAAAGTTGATTGAATCACTCCATAATTCCAGCACGAAAGCTTTAGCAGACTCAGGCTGTTGTTCCCAACTCTTATCTTGCCTTCCTCGCCCTAATATCACAGCTGCTCTTCATCACCATAATTACCTATTTATCTAAATGGATGGGTATTGTAGCTTCCAAATATAGTTCACACGTGTCACTTGCTATTTCAGAATACAGAGGTCTGGTAAAAGTGATGTACTCATTGAGAAGCCTGATTTATTTCTGGCCAACTCCAATACGCAATCCTTCTACTCAAGGAAGGCTTCTCAGAGCTATCACCACTGCAGGACTGGGGCTGCTGGAAAGATATGTAGATGGGATCCGAGAAGATTCTGAAGTTGATCCTAGGGATCATCTAGTCTAACCCTCTCACTTTACATCTGAGAGAGCTGAAGTCCAGCGGTTAAGTGATGTGTTCAAGGTAACACGGCTAGCAAGCGGCACAACCAGGATCTAAGTCCAAATCCATCACTCTTTCTATAACAATAGCAACAATAGCTTACATAGTTACCATGGCTTCATAACTGTTTTTGTGTCATAAATCCCCTTTAGCAGTTTGATGAAGCCCACAGACCCCATCTCAGAATAATGCTTTTAAAAGCATAAAATAAAATAGATTTTCAAAGGAAACCAGTCATATTGAAATAAGTTATGAGAGAAATTAATATTCTACTATTATATTAATAACTAATTATTAATTGCTGTAAAATATTTTTATAAAACAAGCCATGGATCCCAGATTAAGAACCCCTGATTTATGTAGTACTTTAGGGTTTGCAAAAATTTTACATGTTATTTCATTTCATTCATGTATTATTTCAAATTTTTCATATATTATTACATATGTAATCATTTCATATTTTACATCTATTATTTTATTTCAACAATCCTTTGAGGTAGATGCTATTATAATCTCCATAGTACAGATGAGGAAACTGAGGCTCAGAGTGGTTAAGTGACTTGTACAGGGTCACACAGGGTCTGAGCTCAGATCTTCTGGATTCCAAGGCCATATGACTCTACTAAGCTGTCATGAAGTTGTTGCTCTAAGTAAGATTGGAGGGAATGAGCAAGTGGTGGTAGTACACAGGACAATCCGACTGTCCTATGGGTCAGAAAGCCGGCTACAGTATGGATCAAGCCCTCATCACAGACTACAGGAAAGGTAGGAAGACTTTACCTTTGTTCCAGCCACATTTCTGCTGCAGTCCCTTTAACTCACCACCCCCATCCCCCTCCGCCTCCTTTTACTGCCATTCCGGTTTTGAAGGTAACCTTGTAGACCTGCAGTTGCCAGGTTTCCCCCAAATGCAGAGAATTGATGGTCAGGAGGCTAAAGGAGCAGAGATGATGGGCTCAGGATGTTTCCTGTAGCTTCTGGTGCCTTGCACCCATCAGTGCTCTTCTACCCACTTGAAGACACCAGTAAATCACAATCCCTTTGGACAGTCTTGGGGAAAAGCAGTTTCTTTAGCCAAGACAAGATAAGGCAGTCTGTCTCTCCCCAGGGAGTCATATCTAACAGCAATTCATTTTCTCTGCAGAAGAAGAGCTTAAATTGTTCAGGACCTCAGAGTTAGGAGATAAGAAACAAACTTTTCCAGCATACATAGAAAAACTCAAATGCTTTCTCTTCTCCAACTTTTTGGACAGAGCTTTCAGGGGTAGAAAACTGCAGGGTACAAAGTCATAGAAGCATAACCAGAACAAGAAAAATGAGGTTTTCCTCTCTGGTACCAACATCTAGAGGGGGGCATGTTTTCTCTCCACAGACAGCAAGCTTTTCCTCTGCCAGATTATGTGCCAGAACCACCCCTGGCAGTTAAACTGTCCTTCGTATCACCACCACCTGTCCATTCTGGCCAACTGTCTCCACATAGGCAGGCTGGTTGTGATCTGAGAGATGTGCTTAACTATCTGAGTTACCAAGAACTAGCTGAGATACCAACTAGTCCAAATAATCCTGTGTATTTTATTCATTTAAAAATATAATTCTGAGAAGAGATCCATTGGCTTCCCCAGACTGCCAATGGGTCTATGCCATATGAAAATGGTTAAGAACTCTTGCTCTAGAACCTTAATGGCAATCCCACGGATCTGTAATACCATTGGCATGGCTCTTCCCTCAACTAATGCAGGACAATCCCTCCTATGACATAGCAGATGGATCTTGAGAATCGCTGTCGATCTAAAATTATTAATTCTTTTGAAAACATGATGGTGAATTAACGTCTTGTATGTCATTCCCAAGATGACCTAAATACAGTCATAGACCTCATGCTTGAAGCCCTTCTGCCCTGATAGGACCTACCAGGGATGGCTTTCTGCTGACATAGCCTTCAAGAACCCAAGAACACCTTGAAACCAAGATGAGGTGTCCAAATAATACTTTGGTGGTGGTTGGAGCCTGAAACTCTGACAAATGTCGGAGAAGGAAGAGCTTTATGGGTGACAGATAGTTTTTTTCCCATAGGTACAGGGTACAGAAATGCAACTGTTTTCTGACAAAGGGGTGTAGGCAAGGGACATGTAGAGAGAAGAGGAATGAGAACAAGGATGCCCTGCTTCCCCCATCTCCCAGTCTTGGTGCTTTCTCTCACTCACTTGCTCCAGGTCTGCTTCATTGCCTTTCCTTCTCTCAGTCATGTTTTTGTGGGGCAGGATGAAGAGCTCAGCTGAGGTAGGGAGGCCAGGGAACACTGCCACTAGAATCTGGTCTTCTGGGACACTGGTGACCTGCAGAGATGTTGTGACAAATAACAGTGACAGTACTATCTAGATGTGTATGGGCCATATCCTCCAGGAAAAACCGTAAGCTCAGTGAGGGCAGGCTCCATTCAGTTTTCTCTCAACTTTGCATTTCTCTCCCAGCCCTGATCATGGTGTTCTGTACCTAGTGTAGATATTCAATAAACATTTGATAGTGTGAGATGGAATGGTCACAGTTAACCAACTTCTGGATCATTAAAGATGAGCTCATCAGAAAAGAGCACGGCACAAAGTCACAGAGCTATAACCAGATAAAGAAAAATGAAGTTTTGCTCCATGGTGCCAACATCTGGAGGGGATATTTTTTTTTTCTCTCTACAGATAGCAAGCTTTTCCTCTGCCAGTCTGTTGCTGCAGGTGGACAGTCAATCACTCCAATAAGGAAATGAAATGGAATTTATCCTACAGAGGCCATAGCATCGGGTATTGTGCCAAGCTCTGCATTTTAGAGAATATCAAAGTTGATTAAACAACCAAACTTTCACCATTTGTGAATCCTCTCTCTAAGCGAGGATGCCCTGAAATATGATCATTCTGCTGAAGAAGAACCTTTGTTTTACTCTAGGAAACGGACTGAATTGATAGAATCATAGAATTTTAGAGTTGGAAAAAATCTTAAAAGTCATCTAGTCCAACCACTTGCCTTCACTTATGCCCAACAAGTGATCATCCAGCTGTTTAGATACCTTTAGTGACAGAGAACTCATTACTCCCTGAGGCAGCCTATTCTATTTCTATACAGTCATAATTATTTGAAACTTTTTTCCCTTGTGATGAGGCAAAAACTGTTTTCCTCTGGCTCTATTTCTATTTTCTGTTTATGTTTTTTTAGCCAAGAACAAATCTAGTTCGTCTTTGATATGATAATCCTTTGAATATGTAAAGACATCCTCAACCCCAGCTCCTTAAGCCTTCATCACACTGCCCCACTCCCAATTAAACACTTCCAGTGTTGTCTTCAACCAATCCCCAAATGGCAGGAAAGGAAAAACATGAATCCACTTTTACTGCTTTTATTAGCACTCCCCGCTTTGGTGATTCTTCTTGGAATAGCCTTCTAATTTTATATCTTTTCTTTTAACTCTCCCCTACCCCACCCTCAATTGCTTGGTAAAGAAAAGCCAACCTACTTTGACCAGAGCTCGCTTGATGACTTTGCCAATATCTTGTCTCCACTCAGGGATGTCAGGATTGTGGTAATCCAGATTGGGTGAGAATGACAGCAACTGTGACTGGAAATATTCTTCAGAGAAGGAGACAGAAGGAGAGGCAGAGACATGGAGGTAGAGAGAGACAGGGAGAGACAGGGTGGGGTGGGGTGGGGAAATTAAGTTAGTCCAGCGATTATGCTACATTGAAGTTTGTACACCAGGAAGTAATAGAAATTTGGTTACTGGAAACAGATTGATTCACCTCCAGATGCCAGCCCTGTTAATTCTGGACTATAAACATGTACTTGCTGTAAAAGATCCATTTTCTGAAATATACAAATTCTGAAAATAGACACTCTGTGTGAAATCCCAGAAGAGCAATACTCTTGCTGCAAAGGCTGATACCATAACAAACTTTACAAGAAGCCTTAAATAATGGGGCCAGGTAGAGACAACTTTACCACTCCACTATACTGTCCCCCTTTTTCTTGTACTTCTGTATGTCCTCCCAGTAAATGTCATGAATACTTAAAAACTGGATTAATAAGCATCACCAGGGTGACTGGACCAACCAGACTGGACAGCCACATGGAGCCAGTGACTAGCCTACATGTGCTCAAACAAGCCTAGCTACTTAGGAACAGTATTAGCCCAGGTAGAGACATTCCTAACTGGATAATGTCGACAGCTACTTTCTTTTTCCTTTGGAAGAGTGACCCTGACAGAAGCCTGCCTCTATCAATGCAGACCAGCAACTTATTGAACTCACCATCTCAGTATCCTTGACCTGGCATTTCTTTAACTCAGGATGCCTTGAAGTGTGTGGTCCCTACCCATCTGCCCATTTGTTGTAACTATAGAGTCATGGGGAAAATTGTGTTTGCTGACAACGTATGGTCCAAACAACAGGGCAGGAGCCATACTGCTCTTATTGCCCTGCCCCGACTGTCCCTTTGTCCTAGTTCACTCAGAGGAGGAAATAAGCTGGGGTCTGGCCTTTCACTCATTCTACAAAGGCTTCTACTGCCAGATGGGGGAGGTGGGGAGGTGAAACTTTTGCTGAATGGCTGGGGACCAACAGGAGATGCGACGATAGTGCTCTGACTTTACCATGCACTGCGATATCTTTGGAGTCCTGGATGAGGGCATTGCCGGCCGCCACCTGGACTGTTATGGTGTTCAATCCCTCAGAGGTGAACATGAAGGAAATGCTACTGTTCAAGGTGATCAGGGGCTGGAAGACATCAAAGAAAAAAAAAGCACCACTCATTCCCAGTTCCTGGAAGTCACCTGATTCTTCCCCTGATTTAATTCAAGAATACTTTAATCAGCATCTTATTCACCTGCCTCTCCCACGCCCCCATGGAGCCTTAATTCCTAATTAGTGAGATGAAATAAATTTAATTGGTACAATGTACTAGCAGCTGTGATTGAAAGAGTATAATGTAGGAGTAATAATAATAGTAATAATAATAGCATTTAAATAGCACTTGAATGTTTGTGAAGTACTTTTAAAAAATAATCCATTTTATTTTCACAACCACCCTCTGAGGTAGGTGCTACTATTATCCTCATCTTTTTGGTGGGGAAATTAAAGCAAACAGAGGTTAAGTGACTTGCCCAGGGTTACAGAGCTAGTGAGTGTGACGTGAGGTTTAAATTAAGGTTTTCCTGACTCCAGGACTACCACTCTATCCACCATACCACCTAGCTGCCTAGAACAATTGACTCGGTCTCAGGAAACCTGAGTTTACATACTCCATCACTTAATCACTATAAAACTACTTAAGTTCTATGGGATTGGAAAGTCATTTAACTCTTTTGAGCCTTAATTTCCTCATCTATAAAATGGAGATAGTGATACTTGCCTTACCTCAGGGTGGTGTAAGAAGCAAATGAGTTAATAGTTGTAAAATCATTTTGCAGCCATAATATACTCTTTAAAATATAAATGTAAGACATTAAAATTTCAGAAGGAATAATAATCATTTGATAATTATCCAGAAATAGAGGGAAGTATTTCTTGGCCTTTGGTGTGACAAAGACAAGAGTAGCTTTTCTATACGGTCCCCTATCTCTGATTCTGCAATAAAGGAATAACAATAGAATAAAGCGTTCTTCATAGAGATCAAAGTTCTTCTACTACTTGATTGATGAAGTCTAAAATGAGAGAGTGAGGACCATCCTGAGACAGCTACTGCAACTCTGTTAGTCAGGACCCCGCCAGACCACCTTCTAGATGCTTTGGAAGGAAAATGATTCCTTCTCAATTTTCCCACTTGCTTACTGACTCCCTGTCTCTCATCATAAAAACAGAAAATTATAGAATGGAAAGGGACCTCAGAGGCCATAATACAAATAATAACTAGCATTTCTATAGTGCTCTAAAACTTATAGGCACTTTACACACATTATTATATCATTTGAGCCTCAAAGCAGTTTCATGAAGCAGGACCACTGGTATTTTTATTCCCATTTTCAATATGAAAACTGAGACTCAGAGAGTTTGAGAGCTGAAGTGATGATCACACAAAGGCAGACCAAGGCAGCTTTTCTAACCAAGGTCCAGAATGCCATTCACAAAGCTATGCTATAGAACTTATCTCACAGGATTATAAGAATCCATCAAAATCATGTGTACAAAGTCTCAAAGAAAGGAAGGGCAGGGAGCTTGCAAACTATTAACTAGGTGGCTTGACTCTGATGGACAAAAAAGTTCTAGAATTTGCTACAGAGCTCTATTATTAAAGAGAGTAAAAATTTAGGCTGCAACAAGCACAGGTCATGTCAAATTCAACTAATTTACTTTTTTTGATGAGGCTACTGGAGTGGAAAATCAAGGGAATACTGTATATATCATATATATATCATATATATGATATATGTATGTATGTGTGTGTGCACGCACGTGTGTGTGTGTGTGTGTGTGTATAGTTGACCTATATCTGACATCTCACAAAACATATTATGCTATTCTTGGGGAAAAGATAGAGGAATATGAGCTAGAGCATAGGACAGTTAGGTGTTTTGGAACTGGTTGAATGGCCAAACTCAAAGTGGGGTTGATGCAAAATCAACTTGGCAAGAGGTCTCCAATGCATACCGTACAAGGATCCATTCTTGGCCTTATGCCACCTAAAATTATTTTAAGAAAATCTTTGACTTGCTTATCAAATTTATAGTTAACACAAAGCAGGGAGGGATACCTAATATACAAGTTAGCAGAGTCTGAATTCGAAAAGCTATTGACAGGTGAGGGTGTTGGACAGAATCTAAAAAGATTGAATTTAACAGAGATAAATGTAATATCTTATACCTGGGTTTAAAAATATCAACTTCCTAAGTACAAGATGGGGGAGGGAGGCACAACTAGACAGCAGTTTGCCTGGAAAAAAAAGATCCTGAGATATTAGTAGATTGCAGGCTATATGAGGGGCTAATGTAGCAGTCAGAAAAGCTAATGTCATTTTAGACTGATATATCTATATCTACATCTATATCTATCTCTTTATATGTGTATGTACATGCATGTGTGCATATACATATACACACATACCTCTATATATACATAGACACACATACATTGTGCATAGCACAATCCATCCATACATGTGTTCTATGTATGTATATATGTATATATGCGTATGTGTGTATGCATGCGTGCATGTATGTGAGAGCCCTGCCTTAGTTTGCCCTGATGAGACTGTTCTTAGATGACAGTTCCCTGTTGCAGAAGTTCAGTTTTAGGAACAACATTGATAAGCTGGAGGGTGTAAGGAGAGTGCAACTAGGACAGTGAAAGACCTTATGTTTAGCCTGGAGAAGAAAAGCCCTAAGGGGTGGTTGGAGGGCGGAGGAGGCATGATTATTAGGTTCCAGTATTTAAAGGCCTTTCTTGTGGAAAACAGAATAGACTTGTTCTGTTTTGTGCCAGAGGGTAAAAGTGGTTGAAGCTGCAAAGGAGCAAATTTCAGATTGAATTAAGTAATAAAGGATCATAGGAAGCTCCCTGAGAGGACATCTAGTACAATCTCCTCGTTTTACTCATGAGGAACTGCAGTCAAGACACTTGCCCATGATCACACAGCCATCAAGTGTCTGAGGCAGGATTTGAACCTAGGATTTCCAGAGTGCGAGTTCCATACTCACTATCTACTTCCTTATGGAAAATATTCCTAAAGTTTGAGGTAAACAAAAGCGGAATAGATTGACTCAGAAGCTAGTAGATACTCTCCTTCATTGGAATCTTCAAGTGACGAGAGTCAGTCAACACACATTTATAGAGGGTCCCTTCTATCTGTGGAATTCTGGGATTGACTTGCTCAAGATCACACAGGTTACAACTAGCAGAGACTTAAATTCAAAACCCAGTCTTTCAGCTGTCTATCTAGCATTCTTTCCACTTCATCACTAAGCTTTTCTACTCTTAGATTTATTATCAACCATTGCTCATGCCACTTCAGAAGCTGCATCAGTACTGAGGTCAGGGCTAAAATTCAATATTCATTTCCCTTGGGAGTGGGCAAGTTCTTCCCAGACAAAATCACGGGTCCCTATGATCTTCTACTATCTTGAGAAATTCAGGGACCTAAGGATGGGCCATAGGAAATCAGATGGAACTCTCCCAGTGGGTCAGCCTGCCCAGACTCGGCACCAGGCCACATCAAATAAGACTGGGCATGGTGTTTACAATGGCCTTTGGGCCATGGGCCACAGGCTTCCCCGGCTAAGGAAATGGAGGCAACTAATTTTGTTTTTCTAAACTGCTTTTGTTTTTCATCAGTTGTTATAGCATCACGGTTGGTTTCACTCTCATCAGGAAACTGGAACTCTCAACTGGCTCCTTGAGTTTTCAACCAGTCACGGATGTCTGGAGCTGCATGTTAAATTAAATCAAGTCTTTTAAGGTTCATTTGCTCAAATCTATTAGACAAGCAGACACATTTATTAAGCTGGACCTCTTTTAATTCCAGCAAATTGGTCTTTCAGAAGACTCCAAATCCAATGGACAAGCAATTGACTCCTTTGAATCTGACTTCTAGACAGACAGGAGGGCGGAGCTGCAATGATACCCTTTAAAATAATGCCTGGTATGCAGTCCAGCCATGTGTGTGCCCCATCTATCCCCTACTGAGAACTCCTTGTGCGAGACAGGTAACAAGTCATCTACCTAGCTCAGGCAGCCAACTGACAAATCAGTGAGTAGCAATTTACTTACGAGATTTCCACTTGACTAATGCGAATAGTGAGCTGCAAGTGAAATTTTTGTAGTTAACTACACCAAGTTGCCCCAGCACAACATACAACATACTCTGTGTTCATTTTAAAGTACAAAAATATTTGGCTATTGCATATTACCCAGGATTTAAAAATAAGAACTCAGTGTAAAAAGATATTCCTAAATGATCAGGCCATGCAAGTGTGTCACTCTCCCATTCAAAACCTTTCAATGGCTCTCCATTGCTTATAAAATAAAATTCTAAAGAGGAGAGGAGAAGGGAGGGGAAAAGAAGGAAGGGGAGGGGAGAAAAGGAGAGTAGCAGGGAGGAGAAGAGAGGGGAAGAAAGGGAAGGAGAGGGGAGAGGACAGGATAGGAGACACTCCTTCTTATTTTTCTACCCCTTATCTCAGGCTTCTAGAAATGGTAGAAAGCACAATTCTGGTGACTAACATTGAGGCAATCAGAAAAATACCATTTCCATGGGTAAATTATACCAAGTCAACACCAATAATCATTAACCTTCACATCTAGAAAGTACCAAATACATCATGTAGTCCAACTTCCTCATTTTACAGATGTGGAACTGTGGCCCGGACAGGTTAGTGTACTTACCCAAGGTTATATCACTATTAACTTTATTGGAACATAAGAGACCTTAATAATCATTGAATTCAACTACTTCATTTTACAAATGAGGAAATTGAGGCCCAGAGAAGAGAATTGACTTTTTCAACGTCACCCAGGAAGTAAGTGGCAGAGTTGAGATCGAAACCCACATCTTCTGACTCTAATTATTGCTATTTCTACTCTGCAACTCTGTGACAGAGGCAAGGAAGAGCAATCAGATCAGCCCTCAGTCTCCTAATCCTGTGTTCTTTTTATTACATTATGCCAGCTTTCATTGTATATTCCACCAGCTTTTTAAGTGCACAGTTCTTATTTCTGTATGTGTGTGGTTTTTTTTAGGATCCAAATTTTAAAATAATCATTACAACAGCCAGAGTCCCATCACACTAAAATAACCTAGGAAAATACAATGATAATTTCATGAAGAGAGATGAAAATCACTCAAGTTTGTTAAGTCAGTCGCTGTTGTTTCCATCCTTGTGTTAGTGATGGGAAGATTCTAAAGTCACCCTTCAACATTAGATGATATCAGAGACCCTTAAAACATGCTCAAACCTTAGTGCTGTTGCCAAACCACCAGAAATAGGTGAGGGTTCCCAGCTGGCTGGGCCAGACAACCGCAGTGACGTTGACCTCTTTATTCCTGATGGCTACAAAAGGAACACTGAGATGGACATGTTCCACAGGACCTAGAAGAATGGGAGGAAACAATTTAAAAGCTTCTCTTCCTAGAATGGGATATCTGGCATTACCAATACCCTCTTTGCTCCCCTACCCTCAAGGTTTAACAATATATCATAGCCATCATTCCAAACACGCTCAAATAGAAAGTGCACTCCCATCAAGAAGAGGAAATTTGGATGAAGAGAACTCTGACTCAATAGGAAATGTGTCGACAATTTTATTCATGTACTTGTTCATATTATTTTGGCTTGAAATAATCTCTGAGGGCTCATAGACTCTAAATAAAACCTTCTTGGGTGATCACCTACACATTCTAGCTTACCCACAAATACTCATTGAAACTTTTAGCTCAAGGACAAAGGGAGCTTGCGAGACATGTAAGCCAATAAACAAAGGGAGCAGGAGCCGTCATTTTTTTTTTCTCCAGTGATTTGTGGGCATTGAGATTTGGGTCAATGCATTGTATGGGAGGGACGTTTTTCTCATTATCATCCTCCTCCAAGTCATTTTCATCCTTCCTCCACTGGCCCCTTGTCCACCGTCCTCTGCGCTGTCCACACTGGTGGGTGGGGCTTTGTTAAGAGACAAAGGGAGCTCTCCACTAGGAAGAGAAACACAAGCAGAATTCCCAACCTTGGATTAAACCACTCACCAGGGGAGTAACCAACTATCCCTTACTGCACTCATAAAGCAGGTGTGAGCAGCGGCACGTTTAAGGCAGCCAGTAATCAGAATGCCAAGAACACATCTAATGCATACCAATGGAGAATTTTAATTTAGAGCATTTGGGAAATAAAACAAGGACAGGAAGATGCAGGTGGGAAAATGCAAATGTTTCAGCTTTACATTTAGTTGGGTGAATGTTCCCCAATCTTGTTTTATTTTTATGCTGAATTAAATTAAAATGCTTAATGCTTCTGTTCAGGATGTATTAGACAGAGTCTCCAAGGCTTTCCAGTTACAGAGTTTGATTTGACTGATATGGGCTGAGGAGGGGGTGAGTGAGAGTTCCCATGATGATGCCATTACATATCCCAGAGTTGGTTGACATACCTGCCTGGGTGGCAGCTGTTCTAGTGCAAAGGGACATTATCTTACATGTTTAAAGTAAAGACCATATTCTCATCTCTTGGATGAGGGGGCATGTATTGGGGGGGGGTACCCAAGGCTTTTCAAGCCTTATAATCTTCACTGTTTGTATTCATATGCTTCAGAGAAAGTATTGAATTAGAAACCAGGAGACCTAGCTTCTTGTCCTAGATCTGGCATAGTCTTCCCTGCAATAGCTTGGACAAACTGCTCAATCTCTCAGTTTTCCCATCTTTAAAATGGGGATATAGCAACAACTTGTGCTTCTTTCCTAATAGTGACATTATCATTACTATCAGTATTGCTGATTGAGATGGGGAAGAACTTCTCCAAAAGGCAATGAGGAATTTTTTTTTTTGAGAGCTCAAAAGATAATTTGAATCCTCTTGGTTTTTTGTGTGAAAAGAGGTAAATAGGCATGACCTGAGACCCTGGGAATTTCCATTAGTTTAGCCATCCTAGACACTCTGCTCAACCTTCATTAGGTTTGTCCAACCTTGCCCTGAGAAGATACAGCTGGCTGCTCTGAGTGGTCCAAGAGGACTAACAGGGACTTTCCTAAATTCACATCAAGGGCAAAAGCCATTGACCATCAGTGGGATTGACCAGTATTGATCAACATGACTTATTCTCATGGATGGAGGGTATGGGTCATGTCGGTGAAAAATCTCAAATAACCGGAATGAGACAAGGATGCTTTCAGCATAAGGAAGAATGCAAGTTTGCCTCAAAGCTACAGATAAGCTATGAAGTATATGAAAGGGAAGAGGGCAAAGAGAAGTTCAGGTGAAAATGAAAATGACAAGCTCCTGAAAACTCTCACCATCAAACAGTGATCCCTCTGATAAAATCCAATAATCCATGAGAAATTGGTTATTATGGGCAGCTAACAACTACTTTTGTTAGCTAATGGCCCAAGGTGAGGCCAAGAGCAGTTATCGCTCTAATAACTGGCTGTTAAAAGCAGCCATGATTGATTTTGAGGGAATTATGAGCATGATAAAATTTTCAAGGAACATTTCCTCCTTCTTGCACATAACCTGCAGCATAAACCAGCTTCATTTCTGACTGGCTATTGCCATCGAGAAACTTCAGACCAGTCTCCCCACAAGTAAGGACCACACCCAAAGGAAATGTGCGTGCCAATGGAAGGGATTTTAGGGGTGGGGAAAGTGTGTGTGTGTGTGTGTGTGTGTGTGTGTATGTGTATGTGTAGAGTATTATCCAGGAGTGAGGAATCTGCGGCCTTGAGGCCACGTGGGTCTAGGTCCTCAAGTGTGGCCCTTTGACTGAATCCAAATGTCAATAGGGATTTGTTCTGTGAAGTTTAGATACAGTCAAAGGGCCACACTTGAGGACCTAGACCACTACATGTGGCCTCAAGGCCATAGGTTCCCCACCCCTGGATATATATGCATTCTATAGAGACTATATATTGTGTATATGTATATTATAGAATACAAATATGTCTATGTGTGTGCATATACACATAATATATATGATTGTGTATATGTATGTGTATACACACACATACACATACATGTGGGCAGCTAGATAGTACAGTGGATAGAGAGCCAGGCATGGAGTCAAGAAGACCTGAGTTCAAATCCAGCCTCAGACACTTACTAGCTATGGGACCTTGAGCAAATCACCTAACTCTGTTTGCCTCAGTTTCCTCATCTGTAAAACAAGTTGGAGAAGAAAAAGGCAAACCACTGAAGTATCATTGCCAAAAGAAACCTTTCAGATGGGGTCATGAAGAGTTGGACACAACTGAAAATGACTGACAACCAACAACAATACATACACACATACTGTAAACTTTTATGCAATGAAATAAAGCTTTCTGAACTCAGTCAATTCTTCATATCAAGCAGATGCAATCTAAAATAATACCTGAAATTGTATATAGTGTTTTAAGATTTATAATTATTTACATACATTATCTCACAGTTCTCACAATGGTGTTACAAAGGAGGTAGAAAAGATATTATTATTACTGCTACCTTTTTACAGATGGAGAAACTGAGGTTCAGAGCGGTTAGGTGACTTGCCCAGGTTCACACAGCTAGTAAGCCAGTAAGGTAAGATGTGAACTCGGGTTCCCCATCTTTGCCACTTCTCTTGCTGCCTCTAGTGGAAAGGAAATAGCCCAGCACCTTAATAGGAATTTACAAATTTCCTTGGCATTTGTCACAACAGGATTTCTCCTGAAATAAATGTGGCTATAAGAATTGAGCATTTATGAGTTATAGCTTTTTAAAAAATAAGAATGCCTCTTTTAAAGCCTTTTTCCTACTTTCACAGAAATAATGGTTTGCTTTGCTTTATATTGTCCACAGTCATTATGACCAGAAAATGGGTTTGACTTGTTAAAAGTGAGTGTTTAGGGCAGTTGCCTGAGTATACATGTGGGACCCTGTGTTTGCACATGCTTATGGGTGCATGAGTTTAATAAAGGTATGTGTAGGGAAAGGGGGAATCATTGGGAAACATGCCTTTTCAAAAAACCCCATGTCATAAAGATTTAAGTTAAGCATCATGAAATTTTAGCTGATTTCTCAAAGTCAGAGTTAATTTGTGGCTTCACATCTCCCTGACATCAGTTCTGATCAGAAAAGGTACCCCTGAATCCTGAGATGGAGTTTGGCTTTAGAGCCAAAACAGATTAGAGGAGACAGAGATACTTAGAAGCAAACCAATCAAATTCAGTTAACAGCTTCCCTCTCTGAAATTCTACTCTCCAGAGGTCTCCTTTCTCTAGGGTCCAACTTAAAAGCCAAGGAGAAAGCTTAAAAAGTTGGTGAATAGTCAAAATAGATTATCAAAAAGTCTATATAATAAAATTATATTCCCTCATCAGATATTCCCTGCAATCCTCATTCAGAGATTATTGATGCTTACTTTGCCTATAATTCTAACGAGCCCATTTTCTGATGTCTTCGCCTGTATGGATTAGAAGCAAGAAGAAAATGAATGAGGAGAAAGGAAAAGATGAAATGGTGTCACTGAAAGGCAGACTGAGGGAGGTGTGACTGAAACTGGAGCAACAGTATATACATACATAAACATATATACATATATATTATTTATACATATGATTTACCAAAAATCTTTGCACAATTCTAAGCTTTAATAACTTCAGAAGTATAAATCCTACAAACTTACAAAAATATTGGGGGGTTAATTATTAAATTTTAAACTATAGATCTGTTTCTTATTAAAATTCAATGTAACCACCATCCTGTGTTATACATTGCTCTAGTCAACTGTAAAATCTTTTATCAGCTTGCTATTCAGTGACTGAATGGACTAAATCTATAATCTTATCCTTAAGATTATCCAAAGAATAAGGTTTTAATGCATATACACAGTTTTGATGCGACCCCATAGGAAAAAGTCGAATGAAGACAGAGCACATGACCGGGTTGCCCAAGCAAGAGTACTACCTCTCTGCCAATCCATCGGTCTGAGACACACAACGTATGATGTTCCATCTTGTTAAATTTAGAATTAAAAACATATTTTTCAAAATTCACAAAACTATATTCATGTAAAAGGAATTTAGGTAATTAAATTTTCAAATGATTTTTGGTAAATTTGTCACATATATACTTCTGAAGTTACTAAAGCTTAAGACTCTGCTAAGGCTTTTGGGAAACCATATGTATGTATGTATATGTGTATATATGTGTGTATGTACACACATATGTATACAAACATATAACTATATAAGATATGCCTCTATAAGACATATAGACCTATACCATACATATATACATACATACATACATATCTATGTATGTAGGTATATCTACCTACAAATACAAATGAATATCCCAGCATTCTATAGACTGTACCAGAACCACCAAGTACAGGTATGATCATTCCCATTTTTTTCAGATGAGGAAACTGAGGCTCTTGACAATAGTCACATGGCTAATAAAGATCAGAGTCAGGATTCAAATCCAGGACCTTCCCAATTCCATGACCAACTCTCTCTCTCTCTCTCTCTGTCTCTCTCTCTCTCTATTTATATATATAATATATATAAATCTATTTATATATATATATGGAGAGAGAGAGAGAGAGAGTAATAAAAGAAATAAAATAGTGCAGAAGTCTGAAGCCATTTATTGCAGGGGTAAACAGTCTTCTCATACCCAACATCAGCCCCTGAGGACATCACTGAAAAGCAGAAATCAACAGTCTAATGATGCCCCTGGAGTCACCAAGAAAAGGTTAAATTTCATCCAGTATTCTCAATATAATAGTGCAGGGAAGGGTGAGATATGTTTTTGAATCATTTCCTTGCCAATGATTAAATTTTCCAAAGAAAGTTTCATGTGTATAAACCCTCAGAAATCAGAAAAAAAGTTGACTTCCTAAAATGACCTTCTCCAAAGAGTCCTGGAGAGTCACAGTGTTACTACAATAACACTAATTTCTATTCTAACACAATATGAAGGGAAAGGGAAAGTTATGATCAATACAGAAGCCTGATATTTGTGGAATTCAGACATGATTTACTATTTACCGGAAGACTAGTATTCAGCCAAGTCCACACCTTACCTGTAAGCTGCAAAGCTCAGTCCCATCCCTCCCCCCCAGCTTTGAACTCTGGGCATGGGATGGAGCAGGGGAGGTGGGAAAGCTCTGAAGGGGCTGTATTTGTTCACCTACTTACAAACCACATGTAGGAAGAGGACAGCAGTATCCGAGCCCAAGTGGTTCTCCGCATAGGCTGTCACCTGGAAGATCCCCGCGCTCTTGTACACATGCTTGATGCCATCCTCAATGGGGCTGAAGTTAGCATAGGACACAGCAATCCCATCTCCAAAGTCTAGCTGGATGTTTGTCCTCTGGAGATCACCCTGCATGAGGGAACATTGCCATGGGCTGATGAGGTGCTTTAGGCTTTACTTATTCTTCATGCTTCTTCTTCTAGCTTAAATTGGACAAGGTGGGCACGCAGGAAACAATCCTTTGCTCCATCAACCCTCAGTAGCTACCTTGGACTGCTCTTAGGACACTAGGGAACTCCAAGGCCATGATCGTTAGGGAGCCTATTAGAATTCCCCCGCATCAGGCCCATGCAAAGGATATCGAGGCTATGCCTGACACCAGCACTGGCGGCTTTCTTTCCCCAGTGACACAAAGTATACATAGGTAAGTACTCCCTAAATGGGAAGGAACTGAGGGTTATCAACGAGCATTTCAAGGTCACAAGACGCTTTGCATCTGGCCACAAGCTTCTTCCAGCTTCATCACCTATTCTCACCCTAGGATATGCTCTGCTCTAACCAGGATGGTGTACTTAGAACTCAAACACATCTTCTTTTGCTAATGACACTAGGTGGCATAGGCGTTATCATACCCATTTCTTACAAATGAGGAAACTCAGACTTTGAGGGGTTAAGTGACATGTCAGTGGTCACACAGGTGGTAAAGGTCAGAGCCTTTTCTGCTTATAGCATGCTGCCTCTCATTATTATCACCTGGCTGAATGCATGACTGAATGGATGACTGACTCTTTGTAGCATTGCAATCTTATGAAGTGCTTTATAGGCATTATCTTATTTGATTCTCACAATTGTCCTGTAAGGTAGGTGGTGTGGCTTTTATTATTCCCATTTTAAAGACAAAGAAACAGTCTCAAAGAGGAGACGCGACCTCCATAGGATCCCATACCTATGTCAGATTCATGCTCATGTGTGGAAAGGCAGAGATGAGCAGAAAGGGCAGGGGGACTGATCAGGGATGGAGGAGCCAGGAATTCAAATTTCTGCTGACAATCCAATTTCCTTAAGTTCCAGGGGACTCCACAATGACAATGGCAACCCTTTACCTTACCTTCCATAGGGCATAGCTTCTGTCGGGCCCCTGCTACCAAATACTCAACCTACAGGCTGTATGAGGGCAATGGTGGGGCAAACCATGGCTTCCTCAAGGAGCTCCTTCAGGATCATAGTTATTAGAGATGGAGGGGTCCTTAGTTGATTACCTTCATGCTAAAGATGAGGAAACTGAAGCTCAAGAAGGTCTTGAAGTCATGTTCTAGGTAGTGAGGTGGCAAGAAGCAAAGGAAGGATCTGAACCCAAAGCTCTCAGCCTCTGAATCCAGAAAACTCTTTCCAAGAGCTATGGGCAATCACTGGTTACAAATATGGGTTGGATCTCTGTTCCAGATCCTTCATTCTTTTGTCAGTGGGACAGAGGCACAATAGCTGATACTTTGGGTTTACAAAGCACTTTACAGACATTATCTCATTTGATTTTCACAATACACCTATGAGATGGGTGTTGCAGGTATTATTATTCCCACTTAACAGATGAGGAAACTGAAACTCAGAGGTTAAGTGACCTGTGGAGGGTCACATAGTCTATAAGTATCAGAGTCCAGATCTGAACCAGGGTCTCTCCTAGCTCCCAATGTAGCACTTCTACTACTCAGGATAATGCCACTTTGCTCCCTTGTGAGGCTATGAATTCCAAAGTATTTTAAGCAGCACATACACCAATTATCAAATGAACTGAGGGAGAGAGCCCAAAGTCAAAAAGTCCCTCTCTCCTGCCTCATCGCAAATGCTGCATACTCCATTTATATTCTTTATGAAAAGAGGTGGAGCAAAAGAGGGAAATAAATTTCTCAGCAATGGACCATTGGCACCAATCACTTTTCCTAGAGAATGACTGTGAGTCCCAGACTCTTTATTCTGCCTCCTTCCCAACAGCACCTTGGCTATATATGAAATACTAATAGATGCTTCCCAGCCCCCACACAATGTCAACTATCTATGAGTTTATGAAAATAAATTAAGGTGGAAATGAACTGGCAGCCTTTCAAAAGGATAAGATCGGGGATCTACCAAGTCATTCAAGAGTCACCTTTCATAGCTCTGGCCCTTAAAATTTCCCAAATGGAAATGTGATGCTGACCCTTTCCAAAGTCCCTCACTCTTTCAATCAAGTGCCTGGATGGGGAGATAGATGCCAATTGGCCAGTCTAGATAATACACCTCCAAAGCCCAGTCCATGTTGAGTCTGCTTTTAAAAATTCCCAAAGCACTCTGTCTTTGGAGAAAGAAAATTCAGTTTGGTCACTTCCCAAGAACCCCAAAGCACAGAGCAATTTGCATGTAAATTTTTAGGACTTTGTAAATCAAAAATCCCACGTGCAGCCTCATAAGAGCAAATGGCACTTATATTTTCCATGACCATAGAATAAATAAAGTGGTAGCTGGAAAGACAAAATGATATAGAGTGGAAAGTGCACAGGATGTGGGGACAAAATACTTGGGTTCATATCCTAGCTTTGGCAACTACCTTGCTGATTCTCAGTTGTTTCATCAGAGAAATGGGAATAATGAATTTGGATTATAAATTTCACAGGATTATTGGAAAGAAAATGTGTATGAATTGTAAAGTGCTATAGAATGTAAGTTATGTAATTGTTATTGTCATCATCATCATCATCATCATCATTATTATTATCATTGTTCATATAGTCAATGACACTATCTCCCCCAGGCCAAAAGTGACCATGGGCATTTTGGTTTCACTGACCAGTCTGGGAAACATCTAAATGAAATCTATACTTACTAGAGGAAAAATCAAAACAAAAATTTTACACCATCTTTAAAAAGGAATTTTTAATAACATAACCTTCCCAACCCCATTTTTGAAACCTCAGAGAATATAATGTAGGAGTATTTCAGAATGTGACAATCTATTCAGGGATTTCTCAGGAGAGGCTAGAGTTTGGAGTGAGGGAAAGAAAGATGGACTGTGGGAGCTCAGAGTAACACAAAGGAAAGCTTCTGTTTCTTTCGTGTGGCATACATAATCTGATGGTAAGAAAAATTCTACACGCTGAGCAGTCCCAAAAAGGGAATTCTGGGTAAGGGGACACTCTGATTCCTCTCCCTCATGAAATAATCTGATGCCACTGAACTGATACCAAATCAGCTTCTATTTCCCCTCCCAGAACCTACACCCTGCCATTCTTTCCACTTTCTCTCCTCTCAAAAGTTCTAGCTATGTCCCCTAGGCTTGTCTTTTTTGCAGGCACCCAGCAGAATAAGAGCAGTGTCCTTCTCATCCAAGCAGAAAGAAATGTCACTTCCACGTGTCTCAGCCTCCATGTCAAAGTTTGGAACCTACCTCCTCCATGAGGATGACGAAGGTGGCATTGTGCCCTTGCTCAGCCACCAGCCTCCCGTCCACAGTCACCACGTGGAGCCCCCTTGGTGCCTTGCCTGGGCACTGCTGGGATTTAGCGGTGTACTTCTCCCTTAGCCCATCTGTGCAGTTGTTAGACACAATTCTCCGGTACCTGGAGGTATTGACATTATGGTTTTGTTTTTTGGTTCACGTTTATGTGTGTATGTGTGCGTGTGTGTGTCTGTGTGTTTAAAGAAAAGAGACTTCTCATAGCGACTGAGGCCAAGCTTTCCTTATAAAGCTAAACAAACAACAAGGAGTATCCGTCCTTCATCCTAGAGAAAAGCAGCTCTGTATACATTGTTATTGATTGGTTCTACCTAGCAATCTGTGGCTCATGTTGCTAAACCAAGAAAGGAAAATCAATGTGTGAATCACATGGAACATGGAAAGAGGCTGCTGACTGGATCATGCCGGGCTCTTGGGGTGAGAGTACGCTGCCTTCCCTCTCCTGGGGCCTCCTGCTGCTCCTTCCCATGCAGAAATGGATCACGGTCCAGTTACTGCGCCTGCTTCTGCCTCTGATTACAGAAAACATTGTTTTGCCCCTATGGGGCCCTTCTGTCACCTAACAGTTCTCACTTTAAAGTCATCAAGTTGGTTTACAGCATTTTGTGGCACCCTCTCTGCCACCACCCTCAGTATTTCATTTTCCTCATAGGGGGACTGATGGACTTTAAACAGAAGTTCAAATATGAGACCCCTATTCAATGGCACCGCACAGGAACAATCCCCAAGATAACTAGAGAACCAAAGGATCTCAGAGCCGGAAGGGACCTTGAGAGGTCATCTAGTCCAATCCCCATTGTCAAGGACCTCACTAGAGCAGGTCAGATTCTATTCCCTGACCACTGCTGCAGAAATAAAACCACAGCGCCTGACTGGACCTTAGAGAACACCTAGTCTAACCTCCTTGTTTCAGAGCTGAGTCCCAGGGAGAAATGCCTTGCCCAAGATCATACAGGGGTGGGGAACCTAGGCCTCGAGGCCTAGGTTCCCCACCTCTGATTAGGATACCAGCAGTAGAGCTTGGAATAGAAGACAGAGCTGCAGATGCTCTCTCCACCACACTACACTGCCTCTCTTTCAAATAGAATACTGTATAGTTGGTCTTTCCAAGTTATCCTCACACCACCCTGCCCCACTCTCAGCTGTTAGTACCTTCCTCTCTACTAAGGTCCCTCTCCCTTTACTCTATATGTGTCTTATAAGTTCTCATTTGTGCGTGAGTCATCTCCCTTATTAGAATATAAGCTCTGTGAGGACAGGGATTTTCTTTTGCTCTCCAGCACTTAGGACAGTGCTTGGAACATAGTCAGCACTTAATAAATATGTTTATTGATTGAGAGCTCAACTTTATTCTAATACTACAGCCTACAACAAAGTGATTTCTGTAACTCCTAATGCATTAGAATGCCACGCTGCGGTCCAAAAAGACTCTTTATTGTGCAAGTAAACATGTTCCATTCACATTTTTTTTTTATGAATAGCCTGACATGAATTATTGATACTGGCCCCTGGCATATGGCTGTCTGCAAGGTAAGAATATAGTAGTCTCAATCTAGGATGATGTTCACTTAAAAGAGACCCAGGTTCTTCTCTTGCATGCCAGGGCTAATTAATCTGTTAGGACCATTCCAATGGTCCTCACTCAAAGGGTATCCAGAGGATTAAGGGAGGCAAAGAATGAAATGCATCCTGGGACTTCCTATCTGTCCTTCAGCTTGGCTAACCAGCTCATCAACACTTAGCACAAAGCTTCTAATGACAGAGTCTGTAACTAGAATCTGAGATAACGAAGCTAGAAAGAACAGAAAGGAACAAAGCCTTTTCCATGAGCAGGCATGCCTCACATTATAAAGCATTTATACACATTACCCTTCCCTCCTTTTTTAATCATGCTTTCATAGATAAAAGCCCATTCTACTGATTTCTATGACTGTCTTATACATGACACATCTTCATTTAGGAAGAATAGTCAAATGTTCATTGAACATTAAACATTTCTGCCTCAGTTAGACTCTCCTCCTCTAAACCCAAATTCTCTGTTATGGAGTTAATAATTATAAACCAATGTTCAAGTGCAAATTGGGTAGAGGATAGTACCTACTATTTATAGTCATTCTTCTGTAAGAAGAAGAAGTTCTCCCTGAAGTGTTTGATTGGAAAGTTAGGGTCTTTAGAATGTAAAGGAATGTCTCAGGCTTGCATGTGTGTAGACACACACACACACACACACACACACACACACACACAAAATAACAAAATGTTACAGGGTTCATTAAAACAGAATCATAAATAGACAGATTCCATGTAGCCAAAATTTAGAACATAAAAGCTTTAAAAAGCATTTTATAGACAAGTCTGATGATATATTTTATAGTGATAGTGATATTTTATTAAAAAAACAGTAAAATAAACATAATTATAGTGTTTTGTATGATTGGCTAAGTGGCACCAGAGTGAAATTTTGTGATATGGAGGGATTTGGTTATCATGAAGCATTGTGAAACAGTATTGGTCATATAAGGTTGTGTAATTTTTAACAAGTCATTTCCTCACTTTGGACTTCAGTTTCCTCATCCAGAACAAGAGGAGGGAGTATAGACATGATGATCTCTAAAGTCCTTCTGGCTTTGAATCCTTTAAGGCCAAGTTATGCCTAAATTTAGTTGACTTAAAATGGTGTCAACCCACAAATGTGGCTGGAATTTATAACTGGGTCTTTTTCTGACAAAGACCAGAGCATGCTATGTAAAACAATTTTTGTGAGAAAGTTGCCCATTACCAACCACTGCCTCTGAGGTTAGCTCATTGGACCACCCTTTCCCAACCCCAAAAACTGCATGAGAGGCTGACAAACAACGTAACCAGTCTCAGCATTTCTCTGTCAATGAAAACACAAGCCTATAAGCCAAAGCTGCCTGATATATAGTTTGAATCCCCTCAATCTCAATGCCAAGTGTCCCTAAACCAGAGTTCAGCCCCTAGGAGCAGCCCTGCCAGAATCAAAGTACTAACCTTGTCAAGCTTTGGCTCAGGTTTGTTGTTTAACAGAACAATTCAAATCACTTTCTATCCTTGAGCCTCATTTTCCTCCTCCCAGGTAGCAGTGGGTAATACTCATGCTACTATAAAGCTGAGGAACTGAGAGGTACAGAAAGGCAAGTAACTTGTTAGAAATCACAGAGAGTTTCTTAAAGAAAGAAGTTGGCATTGGAGAGTTGGACTCATAATTCCCAGGTCAATGTTGACTATATTCAGCTACCTTGACTATTTGGCAGGTCTGCTGTAGGTCATCAAGGAGCAAAGCTGGGGTAGAGAGAATAAATCTCTAAGAGTTGTTTAAGCTCCTGATAGAATCATTAAGGCAAGAACAGAGAGACAGATGCAAATGAAAGCATACTACATGTACACACATGTACACGCACACGTTCTCACATACACACACACACGTAATTTGAGGATTACAGAAAGCATCCAAATGTTATATTTCCAAGACTTTCTTAGCTAAAATCCTAGGATACTGTGTTACTCCAGGATTCAGCAATACCTGTCACTTATGACCATTTTCTTTGCCAAAGGCTCTAGAAATGAACCAATCGATTCTTTGCCGGGGAGAGTTGAAACAGCCTGGTTTGTGGTACCAACCCCTCCACATAGGGACAAATGTCACAAAGTCACCAAAACCAGGTGCTGGTCAGTTTGATCACCTGTTCGCAAAAACCACCCCAAACTCACCTCCTCCATCCCTTGCTGCCAGCACAATGTTATGGTAAACGTCCTGGCTGCCTGGGTCTCTCTCCTGCTCTTAAAGAACTTTAAGGAAGAAATCTCTACAATGTTGCCCAGTTGTCTCTTCCTAACAAGCCCTAAACATGTGCTCTTCTTATTACAACTGCATCTCACTTTGTCCTGTTGCAACTTAGACAAAAGTCCAGAAGAGAGCCAGAAGTGAGCAGCCCCGGCACTTACCCAGTACTGTTGAGGTAGCTTTGGCCAAGGCTGCAGTCTTTCGATGGAGAAGATGGGTTGTACCAGAAAGCAGGGATGCACTGGTTATCTCCGTGTCTCTCATAGCCATAATCACTGCAGCGGGAAGGAAGCAAATGTTTCATAATGGCACATGGATGTGGATGTCTATACACGTGCATATACATACACATATCCATTTATAGACCAATGTGTAAACTAATTCATATACACATCAGTGGTGCAGAGGATAGGACTCCAGCTCTAGAATCATGATGACCTGAATTCAAATCACACCTGAGATACCTACTAGCCGTGTGACCCTGGGCAAGTCACTTAACCGCTTCTTGCCTCAGTTTCATCATCTGTAAAGTGGGGATTACAGCATCTAACTCTCAGGTTCTTCCCTTGCATGCCAGGGCTAATTAATCTGTTATGACCTTTCAAATAGTCTTTACTCGAAGGGCATCCAGAGGATCGAGGGAGGCAAAGAATGAAATGCATCCTGGGACTTCCTATCTGTCCTTCAGCATATATATATATATATATATATATATATATATATATATATATATTCTTTGAACTTTTACTAAAGGTTTATTAATAGAAGGCCCAGTGTAGGTCCAATGGAGAATATACACATGAATAAAACTTACCATCCACGTTTTCATGGAACTGTACATATGTACATACATATGCATATATGTGCATACACACATTTATACATTTAATTATATGCTTGTAGACTTAGACAGGACCTTCAAAGTAACCTGTTATAAACCCTACCTGAAACATGAACTCTCATACTCAAATATAGTTTCATGTTTCTGGTAGGGTTTGCATGCACAAATATAGTAGTAAATGAAAGGAACTTTAGAGCTTTAGAGAAAGAGGACCTAGATTCAAATACTACCTCTTTCACTTACCTGTGTTACCTTGGACCAGTCGTTTAACTCTCAGATTCCTCAAATGTAAAAAGCAGGGGTTCAACTAGATAACTTCCAAGGTACCTCCCATGCCTTATATTCAGACATGTATGTATGTATGTCTAAATACACATGTACATATGTGCATATAGATATATACAGACAGATACATAAATATACATATATGCAGGTGCATAAATATCATTGGAAATACATAACACACATGTATAGAGACCCAGAGTTAGTGACGCTTTCTTTTGAATATCATCAGGGATAACAAATCTTTACCACTGGAAACAGCTAAAGTTCTTTCAGAGCTCAGTATCAGGAATAAGGTATGTATGTGGGTTGGAATTTTTACCCAAAACAAGGCATACCCATTAGGCAATGAGATGGATTTTCTTCTATGCCTCATTAGCTATGAAGGCCACTTCTAAAGAAGAGTCTTTGTTTAAAAATGTGTCACTTTATAGTCGCATACCATATGCATATGTGTATATACACACAATCATTCAAAATGGCCCTGTCAATGACAGGCTCCTCCTTCTTCTTTCTCATTTTTAAGCACCAAATTTTTCAGCTACCTGAAATACACGTAAGAAAATCTTCGCCATAGCAAGATGGAGATGACAAGATAGTGAGGACTACTGAATGGGCATCTATTCTTTTCTCCATCCCAACTCAACAGATGTGTAAATAGGGATTTTCATCAAAAGCCTAGAGTTCATGCCTGAGAACCACAAAGCTTCCAAATGGCTATAGTTCCTCCCACTTCTACAGGACTCTTAATAGGCCAGATGAAGAAAACTGAAAGATCATAAGGAGTAACACAAGGAAGAAGAAGGAGCTTGCATTTCTTGACCCATTCTCACTGTTTATTCATTCTTTGACCAGTACAGACAATAATTGCAAGCAAAACTCAGAATGATTTACTGAATACCCAGAGGCTATGCTATATGAACCTAGGCACTTACTTCATCATCTCTGTTCTTGGCAGTGAAGCAGCATCCTCGAGTGTCCATGGGGAAGTATTCCCCTCCCAGGAGAGTACCCTCCCACCCTTGTCTAGTCTACCCTCTTCCTCTCCTGTCAAGATTCATTTGCTCTTCCATTCATTCAACTACTCATTCATTCATCCCCTCACTTATTCATTTAGTAAACAGCCAAGGCCCTATGCCAGTTGCTGTGAGGATTAGAAAGATGAATGAGACTTCACCCCCCAAGTATGAGAGATAAGACATGTACGCATATAACTGTAATACAAAGCAAAATGTGATAAGTGCCTCAAAGAGGTACAAGCTAAGTCCTCATGGGGGTGGGGGAAGGGGATCAGAGGGCTCCAATCATGATTAATGGTAAAGCAAGAGGTTGTAGTTGTTTTCTTAACAGGTATCACGACTCTTCCCTACTCTAAGACAAGGGTTATCCACTATGGCTCTGTGATACTTTCCTTTATTTCTCTATCTATCTATCTATCTATCCATTAATCAACTTATTTTATCTTATATCTGTCTTCTTTATGTTAATGTATGTTAAACTATAAAAGTGGAACATGTTGTACTACCACTCACAATGATATAATTACATAGCTTTGCTTAACTGTTTTCAGGGTATAAAACTTGGGGAGGGGGCTTTTTTGGGGATGGGGGGAAGTATCTTGTACTAGCAATAAAAAAAAATTAAAGAATGAAAGTCTGTATAGGTTTCATCCAGACTGGAGGCTTTACACACCCTGATAAGCCTGGGCTATAGATACATCAAGCTCTGTATATGAATATACAGTAGAAATGGCCTGCAGGTCCCAGGAAAGATTCTTGCAGAAGGTTTTTACTTCCAATCCTTTAGGCTTGGGTGGTTCCAATACATGGGGTCCCTGAACCAGGCCCTCAGAGGTACTTTTTCATTACTTTTGGAGAATTGACCTATATATTTTGAAGGTCCATCCTGTTCCTTCAGGTTTTCAATCCCTTCATGTCTTTTCACAGGGATCTTGTATTGGGTATCTACCCTTGACATTCTGTAAACTAAGTTATTTTTCAACTAACACTCATGTTTGTTCTTTAAATTTCAATGAATAAAAATATGATCACTCATTTCTTAAGAAAAAAAAACAGTGATTGGAGGGAAGGGGTTAGAAGAGGAAGGGAAGGCAAATAAGCATTTATCTAATACCTACTGTGTACCCAGCAGTATCCTAGTTATTGCCATGCATACAAGAAAGTAGGAGACAAAGTCTCAGCCCTTGGAAAGCTTATATTCTTTTTGGAGAAATGTAAGATAGTATGTAATCAACCTTGGGAATAGATGGTTCAGAAAATATATAGTCATACTAGAGAGACAGAGGAAATCAGTATGACATGGAATAGTTCTAAATGGCAGCATGGAGAAGTAAGGAATTTATCTGTGCCTTGAAAGCAATATAGGAATTACATTTGTGCAGTAGGTAGGGGCTGGTGTTCTGAGTGGGGAGAAGAACTGAAGAAATCTTTCACCAACCTTTCTCACTCTCTGTTGGAGGATTTTCATTCTGCCTAGTTACGGCAGAATGAATACTAGAGCATCATGAATCGTGAACTTCCCCAAGCTTGGAATATCTGTCCTTGGATTTATCTGTGGAAATATCAGGGACTTGTTATGACTGGTACCCAGAAAGTTCCACAGGTTGGTTTACTGAAGGACCCTGGCTGAGTTTCTGCTGACCTTGAGTATGATTAGTATTCTTTGGCGGGTGACTACCAGTGCAAACTGCCTTGGGAAGGAGAGAGATTTCTTAATGTTCTCCATCTTACTGTGAAATGTTCATCTTCAGCACTTTGTGCAGTAAAATATACCTGTTAGTAACTCAGTAATTAAAAATGTGCATGAGGCCCAGTGCTTTGCCCCAAAGAGGGAAAAAAGTCTCATTAATATTTAACAACATTAAGGAAAACATCACTGGGGGCCCCTGAGCTGTGGGCTTCTTCATTAACTGGAGCTAAATGTATATTAAAATCTCATGGAACTGCCCAGCTTCCCTCCACAGCCCTGGGGTTTGCATGATTTAGGTGAAAAACCAGGGTCACTTGCTTCTAGGAAAAAGGTGCTTTTCAGGCAAAGTCAGTCATGAGGATCGAGGAGGTAAAACCTAGAGAGGGGTTGCCTAGAACTCTCAAGCTGTGTGTCCCACCGATGCTGCAAACATACCAAGAAATTCAGCCAGGAAACAGTTTGGCTACATTTCTCTCTCAGCTATCAGACTCCTAAATATTTAAAGATAGAAATGCCATGATGGCCCTCGGTGAGTAAACCTTGCCATGGTCTTCCTAAGCCCTGAAAGCATCTCATCTGAGAAGAAAGTCGTGAGCCACAAAGCTAATGGAGGAATTGTGCAAGGCAGTGATTGCTTTTGGGCTCTGGATCCCAGGGCCCCGCTAAGCCATGGCTACAGTCCAATCCTCAGCGATGCATGGAGCAGAGGGGGTAGGAGGGGCTCTGCCAGACCCTTGGGACAATATCTAGAGATAACAGTTAGCATTTACATTATACTTTAAGTTTTGCAAAGTGCTTTGCATTTGTTATTTCATTTAACCCTCACAAAACCCCTGTGTGGTAGATGCTATTATCATCTTCATTTTAACAGACAGGGAAAGGAAGGCCAAGAGAGGTTAAGTGACTTGCCTAGGGTCATGCAACTAGTAAGTGTCTGAGGCAGGAGTGGTGAACCTACAGCCTCGAGGTCACATGTGGCCCTCTAGGTCCTCAAGTGTGGCCCTTTCACTTGAGGACCTAGAGGGCCACATGTGGCCTCCAGGCCGCAGGTTCCCCACCCCTGGTCTGAGGCAACATTTCAACTCAGGTCTTTCTGACTATAAGTTCAATGCTTTATTTATCACAACACCTAGCATTTTTAGCAGGCAACCAAGTCCCAACACTCCTGTCTCCTCATCTCTATCTCCTGGTTTCTCTCGCTTCCTTCAAGAGCCAGCTAAAATCTCAACTTCTACAGTCAACCTTTCCTGAGCCCCTTATTCTTAAGGACTTCCCTCTATTGATTTTCTTCCATTTTTCCTGTCTATAGCTCTTTAATATGTAGTTATTTGCATGTTGTCTCCTCTATTAGACTATAAGCATCTGGAAAGCAATGACTAGCCCTTGCCTTTCTTTGTATGCTCAGGCACAGTGCCCGGCAAACAATAGGTGCATAATCATTATTTATTGACTGATTAACCTTGATTTTCACCATTACAAGAAGTTGTACAAACATTTGAAAAAATCACAATGTAGTTTTGCAAGTTTTTCTTTGTCCAGTTCATGTAAAATCCTGGATTAAGGTCATAAACATTGAAAAGAAGGTAATTTTCTCCAAGCCTCCAGTCAGATCAGACACTCTTTATGGCAGAAGTGGTTTGGGGCAAAAAAAACTAAAACCAAAAACAAAATCCTCACTCTTCCTCCTCCTCCCTCCCTAACAAATCTTCTTTTTGTAAAAACTCATACTGTGTGGTGCAAGTATTCCTTTTAAACTATAAGCTTCTAGAGGCCAGAGGGCAGGCAGGTCTATTTAGCTTTCTTTCAAGAACCTCTCCAATCTCTCTCCATAGCACACATCTAATTTTATTTCCTTATATTCCTTCCCCTTGGGCCAACTGGTTCCTTTACTGACCCACAGATCCGCCATGCTAATTCCTGCCTCTAAGTCTCTGCTCATGATGTTCCTAGAGTCAGGAATGCCCTAACTTTTCCCCTCCTAAATTCTATCTTCAAGGCCCAACTTTATAAAGTCTTACCTCCTCCGTGAAGCCTCCTCTGGTTTCCCAGCCCTTATTGATCCCCTTTCTCCTCTTAACTCCTACACCATTTATAGCATGCACCATGCACTTTAATGCTTAGTTACTCATACTTTCTTATATTCTTCATTGTTTTCTCATTAATGTATGCCTCTCATCTCCTCAATTAGACAGCTAGTTCCTTGAGCGCAGGGACCAGGTACTAAGTATAGGGATGGATACATGGAGGGGATCAGTAAATATTTATTGCTTGATCATTTGCTTATGTAAATCCCTCCATCTGGGGGCATTTACTAAATGACATGGATAAGATGGCTTATTGGAGTTTAGAGGTCCCCCACTGTGGTACCTGGGAAAGAATGGATAAAAGTAATGATAATAAAAAATAATAATAATTAACATATATAGAACAGTTTAAGGTTTACATAGCACTTTACATATTTTATGCCATTTGAGCCTCATAACAACTCTGTAAAGGTGTCATTATTATCCCCATTTAAGAAACGAGTAAACTGAGTCTAAGCAAGGTTAAGTGACTTGTCCAGAGTCACACCTAAAATGTTTCTGAAGTGGAATTCAAATTGAGGATTTTCTTTCTGACTTCAAATATAGCCCTAGCTGCTTCTTTCTCCTATTCCTTAGGCATTTATGAGGTCCCAGTGTGGACTGGACATCAAACTGGGCAGAGGTCCTGATGAGTCAGATAATACTGTGAAAAGGCACTACATGCTGTACTCTATGTGGCTGACTAGGTCTGCCCGAGAGCCCTCATTGGATTCAGAGCAGGCCCAGGGTACTCTCTTCCTTGACTGACTGCCCATATATCTCTGTCAGACTTGTCTCTGGAAGAGGCTTCACTCGCTACCATCCCAGACTGCTTGTCCTTAGGTCAGAGACATGTTGGAGGCTTGCTGAAAAGAGGTTCTTCACAATGACCTTGAACTAGGGAGATTTATGATGCTATTAATGGAAACTTCAATATTTATGCAAAAGTGTTACTGATTCCTGAGACCCACTCTGGAAGGCACTAGGAAAGAAGGGAGAGACCATAGCATTCCCCTACCAAGTGTTTCTGAGCAGCTATAAAACCTACGTGTTTCAGATTGTACCTTTCAACTGTCATGTTAAACTATGGGTATTTAAATCCCTCTTCTCTGACCCCACTAAACTAGGACATTTTTTCCCCTTTGCTTCTGTCTCCAAGACTTAACACTGACTATGCCATTCAGCTGAAAGTGATCTGCCTTTGGATCAGAGAAATAACTCAGTTTCCATAGAGGCAGAGGAACAGAGGATGGCAGAGCTGAAGAGACCCTTGATCTAACCCCTTCCTTTTACAGATGAAGAAAAAGGCCCAGAGAGGGGAAAGGGCTCGTACGCCACGAGCCCATAGCAAGAATCAGAACCAGCCTTGCATCACAGCCTATCCCGTAAGGCTGTAGGTTTCTGGAACGGGTCTCATCTATCCCAATACAACTTATTATTCTACTATTTCCTAATCATCTTCCTCAACTGTAGTGTCAGGTGGGTTATTAATTGGCTAAAATAGCATTCTTCTCACTGAACCAGGAATTCTTAATCTTGGATTCATGAAATTATGTGTATGTAATTTATGCAAAACTGTATGTATTTGTGTGTGTATATATTGTATAGATGTGAGTATATTGTGCATAGGTGTATGCATATGCATAGACACATGTGCTGCACGTATACACACATGCACATGTGTATAGGTGTATGCATATACACATATGCTGCATATATATACATGTGCACACAAATACACTACATACATACATAGGCAGCATATTTGTGTGCATATGTATATGTGCATATACATATATAATATACTCATATATACACAAATGTACACATATAAATGTATACTATATATGTGTATGTGCATATATGTATGTATTCAGCATATTTGTGCGCATATATATTATATATATGCAGCATATTTGTGTTCATATGTGTATATATATGCAACGTCCTTGTGGGCATCTGTGTATACATAACACTGTATTTTGATATAACTGACTTCCTTTGTAATTTCCTTATGTATTTAATTTTATGCATTTGAAAACAATTCTCTGAGAAGGCATCCACAAGCTTCAGCAGATTGCTCATGGCAAAAAAAAGAAGCTAGAACATCTGAACTAAACTATGCTGTTTTTTTCCCCTAGAATATCTAATTCAACATAACTGCTCTCAGCTAGACGTCTTACAGGAAGCCGCTAATGGTCCCCTTGTGGAAGGGGCTGGTACAACATGTCTCAAGGAAGCACCAAGCTAAAAGAGACCCAGAGATCACTCAGTCCAAACTCTATCTGAAATAAGGCTTTCTTCAAAACCTCTATAACTGGCTATGTGGCTTTTCCTTTACCACCTCTAGTGATGCAGAGCTCATTACCTCATGAGCCAGCCTATTCTTCTACCATACAGCCTTCTCACATTGAGCCAAAATAACGCCTATCAGTTAGTCCTACGTTTGTCCCTTAGAGACAAACAGGATAGGTTGAACCTATCTTCCATGTGACAGCTCGTGAAATACTTTAGGATCACAATCATGTTCTCCCATAGTGAACTCTTCTATAGACCAAACATCCTCAATTTCTTCAACTGATACATCTTAAGACTAGAGGAGAAGAGGTCCATAAGGGACTACTATTATTTGATTTTCCATGTAGGAGAATTCTTTATGGAAAAAAAAACTTTTTTGTTAAACAATACTCACACTTATCTTCTGATCATTTCAATTATATGTTATTTCTGAATGGTGCTGCCTCTTCTAATAAAAGAGTCTCTGCATGGGGTTCTCCTCATCCCATTTGACTACTCCTTTAAATTTAGAATTTAGAATGACTTAGGATTAGAAGGGACCCTAGGGATCATCTAGTAGGACCCTTGTGTTTTACAGAAAGCTAATCTGAAACTCAGAGAAATGAAGTGACTTTCTAGTGTGTGTGTGTGTGTGTGTGTGTGTGTGTATGTGCATTTCTTTAAACACATAGAATGTATCTATATAAAAGAGTACTAGCCCTCTAAACTTGTTCCCCTTGGGGAAGGGCAGAATGGTAAACACTTACTGTAATGAGGCTGTCATTGAATAAAATATTTCTAGTAACCTCTCCTTAGCAGAGGTCTTCTGAACTTGTGGCATGCTCTTTTGAATTTGTTCAGTGGTGACATCCTTTGAGGATGTGTTTGATTTTTTGAAATAGCTAAAAGTCATTTATAGTCATTTCTGGTGAATAAGGTGAAGGATCAAGCTGTCTGACACCACGTGGGATCAAAACAAGAAATGCCTAGAAAATAAAAATACTCATTTTCTCATATGACTCACTGGTTGCAGAATGTTAGAGTTGGAAAGCACCTTAGAGACTGACTAATCCAAGGGTGGGGAACCCGTGGCCTCAAGGCCATATGTGGCCTTCTAGGTCCTTGGATGTGGCCTTTTGATTGAATCCAAGTTTTACAGAACAAATCTTTTTATTAAGGGGATTTGTTCTGTGAAGTTTGGGTTGAGTCAAGGGCTGCACTTGGGGACCTAGAGGGCCACATGTGGCCTTGAGGTTACAGGTTCCCTACCCCTGGTAATCTATCCCCACCTCAGTTTACTCATGAGAAAACTGAGACCTAAAGAGAGGAGGTGATGTGCCCATGGTCCTACTGTGAATAAATGGCAGATCTGGGATGCCAGCTCTGTTCTTATTTGGATGCTATGCCCAATGCTCTTTCAAATTAGGAATAATCATGCCTCAAATAAACCTCATTGGCTATGCTACTGCCCCTGCACAAAGCTCCAGTCCTCTTTCCATGTCATAAGCTCATACTTCCTTCCTGAGGAAAGAATCCAACTAATTGGGATGTGCTACATAAACCTGCCAAATAAAATGCCAATTGCCAAGGAATGTATTTGGAAATGTTTCTAGCAATGGTAGCTTCAGTAAACAGCTGCCCCAGGTTAAACTTTGATGGACTGAACTCATCCAAATCTATAAATTCTGGTGTGTTAAAAAGCCAGTCCCATTACTTTATGGTCACACTGTGGAGTGAAGAAATTAGTGTAGACTTTTGGTGCAGGAGAGCAACAGGAGGTCAACAAGAGACCTGTCCCAGAGAACAGACATGTAATGAAACTCTTAGTCCTATAGAGATGTTAAGTTTCCCAGCTTGGTTGAAAAGGGTATCAATACACCTTGCAGAGACATAAAGAAAACAAATGTTATATTACATAGGGGAATCTTGAACAGAACCTCCAAGTCACAACACATTAGAAAATGCAGAGGGACTATTAGATATGTCATCTCCCTTAATCAATCTCCCTCCTTTCCCCACCATCTCTCTCATTTTTCAATCTCTAAGTATCCATCAATCCTTCATGGAGGTCTATACAATTGCCCAGGTCTCCCCCATCCATAAAAAAGGGCTTCACTTGACTCTGCTGTCCACTCAAGCTATTGTCCTATGTTCTCCTTTTCCAAGTGACAGTTCTAGAAATAATTTATTCTTGTTGCCTCCATTTCTTCTCCTCCTGTTCACCTCTCAACACCTTGGAACCTTAGTTCTGACCTATATGATCAAAATGAAACTGCTTTCTCCAAAGTTTACGTTGATCCCTTAATTGCTAAAAACCAATAGCCTTTTCTCACACGCCGTTCTGTAGTTTTTAACACATCCAGTAGAATGTAAACTTCTTAAGGGCAGGGACCATCTCACTTTCGACCCATTCTTTTAGCATTTAAATCCCCAGTGCCTGGCACATAATCAATACTTAATGAATGGTTATTGGTTGATTGAATGATGCCCTTTTGCTAAATATTCTCTCTTCCTTGACTGCCATGGCAGTCACTGCCCTCACTTGGTTCTCCCTATAAGCATCTGACCATTCCTACTCGGACTCCTATGTTAGATCATCATTCATAGCTTGCCCATTAAGCAGGAACGTTCCCCAAGGTTCTATCCTTAGCCCATTTCACTTCTCTTTCTACATGTTCTGTCTTGGTGATTGCATAACCTACTATGGACGACTCCCTTATATGTCTCCTTAACTCCAACTCTACTCTGCCAATTGCCTATTGGACACCTCCATCTGGAGATACCATCAGCAGCTCAAAATCAACATGTCTAGCCAGAATTTATTCAACTTTTCTTCATGCCCATCTCTCTTCCAAAATTCCTCTTTTCTGATGAGAGCACCACCAACCTTCCAATTGCATGGATTTTCAAATTTGGAATTATTTTTGCCCTATATCTAATCATTTGTCAAGTCTTTCTGATGCTACCCTCACAACATGTCTTGCATCTGTCCTCTTTTCTCTTCTATTGCCCTTGTTCAGCCTCTCAGTATCTCTCAGCTGTATTACAATATCTTCCTAATTGATCTCTCTACTTTCATTCTTTCCTGTCTTCTCCCCTAACGCTCTACACAGAAGACAAACTAATTTTTGTAAAACATAGGTCTAGTCAAGAATATTCAATGCCTCCCTATTGCTTCAAGAATAAAATGCAAACTTGGCATTTAAGGCAGTCCATAAGTTGGTTCCCATATAACTTTCTGGACTCACTCATTTCCTATTATTAACCTTCAGGCACAATTTATTCTGTATGGCCCACACTTTGTTCTCTATATGCACAATGACATCTCTAATCTCTGTACCTTTGTACATGCTTCCCCTCATGCCTGGAATGCACTCCTTCCTTACCTTAGAATTCTTAGCTTCCCTCAAGTATCAATTTAGGAGCCTCCTTCTGGTCATACCCTTCCCTGATCTTTGCAGCTAGTGCTCTCTCCTTCCTGAAATTACTGACATTTACTTCTTCATGTATCTGTTTTATCTCTCCAGCAAGGAGGGAACATATCATTTTTGCTACTATATCCCCAGTGCCTAGCACTGTGCCTTGCAAAACTAGGTATTAATTGAACTGAAATGAATTAAATATTTGAATTCAATAACTGAATTGAATCCAAGTGAAAAGTCAAAAATCTTTATTTCACAGTCAGGTGGAAGCCCTATGAGGGATACTTTTCACATCTGCATGGCACCCACATTCCTAGAAATATATTGCTGTACTTGTGTTTAATAATTGAAAATTACTGATCCCAAATGTGAAACCATCCTTTGACTCTGAAGACCCTGTCTGAATAACCATGAAAAAGGGTTCTGCTATCATAATTTAAATTCCAATCCATCTTAAAAATGTAACGAATCTGATTAAAGACAGGATCTCTAAGCGATGGACATCCAGAGTGCAGGAGACAGATAGTAGGAGAATCCATTAACATAGTGACCCAGGAAGCAATCATTTACTAAATGAAACATTTAATAAGAAATACCTTCAAGGTCTGGGTCCCCATTGTAGGTTCAGTCCTGGAAGTAGTGTGGGCTAAATCCTCTAAATTAAGTTGGTTGGGTAGGGAAGTGTTTTTTTTTTTTCCTCTACCCCAATTCAGGGTTAAAAATTTCAGAGATAGATCAAATCTGACAATTTCTGACTTAATTCCTTTTTATAAATTAGTGATTGATGTCCTCCATGCATTTTCTAAACCAGTGGGGTCATATTTAAATAGAAATGAAAACTTGCTGGCTGAATAATGATTTAGAAAATCACAAATTAACATTATCTATGTTGTATTATATTTTTATTTGTTTTGTTATACATTTCCCCATCACATTTTAATCTAGTTTGGGTTGCACTTAGGATTCTTGCTCACCACTTGGCTGTGAATTTCACACCTCTGTTCTAAACTAATTGGGATATGCTCTATAAACCAGCCAAATAAAATTCTGGTACAAATTCTGATTGGCATTTGGGATAGAGAAACTTCCCAGCTGGGGTCAAAAGGATTTGCTCCAGTTCACAGCAGTGTGGGGAGAGTTTGCACCCCTTCCACAAATAATTCTGAGTAATCTATGTGGAAGAGAATTGGTTTAAGAATGAAAGAATGGGGTCCTATTGTCCTAAATGGTTAGTGAATCACATGACCCAGTATTTCTTTTTTTTCTTGTGCCACAACTCAGTTTTATTACTGAAAAAAATGATATTTTTAATGTGATTCCTTGCTAATGATATCCTGGAATGCTTATTTACCTTGTGATAGAAAAAACTTCTTCTACCAACTATTTTTTTGGAAGTTGAAATCCTCAAAGATCATCCAGAAAACCAGTCCTAACACTTAGAAATTATTAAATACCTTCCTTTGTATTCTTTGCACTCTTCTATCTAGAGATCTGAAGAGCACCCTTGGTCCTAGAAACTACAAAATTCTTTTATTTTTCCTCTTTAAGGAACCTGTTGATCTGCTGACACTCCTGATGGGCCTTTTTGGAGGGGGAAGAAAATCACAATCTGTTGGATTTTCTGTACTCTTTGCCAATTCCCTCTTGGATAACTTGACTTTATCTTGTTGGGGAGGAACAATGCTGTTTCTGCTAACCCACTTATGTTTCTTTTTTATCATTCTAGTGGTATCTATTTTCTGACACTCTATCTCTAGGTCATTGGTTCTACTTAACTGTAACTCAGATTAACCATTTCTGAAGAAAACTTTGAGGCTACCTGGGGAGCAATGTGGTTGCTTCCATTAACAACTTGCTTCCCTTGCTTTGTAACCAATTTAGGGGTTCCTATGTCATTACTTTCTGGCTTTGGGGAAATAATAGGATGTGCTGGCAATCCTTTCACATCAGGAGTTTCCGTGTAAGACTTCCAAAGTATGGTGTACAAGTTTTTCATTTGATGTACCTTGGTCTCTATCTTCTTACAAGCATCTTTTTTTTCTGCTTTCGCCAATAGCTGGCATCTCTTCAAGGTCTGTCAATCTCTTTTTTCCATTCTTTTGGGTCTCTGTTTCATCATTCTTATTTGGCTCCTGGAAGCCATCTGTTACTTCTATGGTTTTTGGTCCTTGACCCTTTTTTTTTTTCTTTTACATGTTCTCCTTGAGCTGTTGTTTTGAGAATTTAAAGGAATAGCTGTATCAGACATGCCAATCTCATAAGGAAAAGAAGAATCCATACTCATATTCTTCCTTTTATTCATCTCCTTTCTCTTTGCAGTTCTTGACCTATCTTTCTCAAAAGTCACAGCTGTCTCCATATTCTGCTTTTCATCTTTTTTTTCCCCTTTCTCTTTTCGCAATTTCAATTTTGGCAAACAAGTCTTCTTTTGCTGCAGCCTGTTCCTGTCCAATTTGTTATGCTGAGCAAGGCCATCTTGAAGGACTATGCCTTTGACAAGGCTCTGGAACTTTCTGACCAGTTTGTAGAGATGCTTCCTATTCAAGGAAAGAGTGCTTTGCCCACTGGCCCTTTCAAACAGTATATCAGTGATTTCCTCATAGTTAAACTAAAGCACAAACCTGATGTGTCCCTGGTCATCACTCTGCTTTTCCACCTTTGGTTTATCAGTGCTTGAGGAGGAATCCTTACCTTTCTTTCTTTTGCTTCCTAGGGAATCTTATGGATGTCATATCATCTGCTTCAGCTTCTAACAGTTCACTGTCCTCTTGGTTTGCATTTAATTCTCTTATTAAAATTTCAATGGCAAAGGGAGCTTATTCCAAAATTTCTTCAAAGATGCCTCTGACTACATTATACAGCAAAGCAGAATCCTTTGTCCTAGCTGCAATTTTGCAGAATGGCACAATAAACTTCAGGTTTGGATCTACTGTAAGCTCCTCTGCTCCTACTGTAGTCTGCTCTTCCACGTATACATCAATGAAGTGGGCCTTTACTCCACCAGGTAGGTGCCTGACTGTCTTTCATTAGGATATCCAGAAGTAGCTCAACATGACTTTCCTCCCATTCATTTCTTTTTGATGCCTCAAAGTATTGGTTCAGAAGAAGATGCATCAGCATGTAGAACTTATCCAGGTGCAATCTGTCTATTCCAATCCACTCATGGTTCATGGTTTGCCAAAAATGTCTGAACAAATAGGTGCTGTTTTTCTGTGTTCTGAAAAACATGAATGAGCTAGGAAATTGTATTTCCAAGTTGCTCCTGTAGGAGAGGTTTGTCCTGCATCCACATACAGTAAAAAAGCCCCTTCCATATTTTTAGCAATTCTTTGTGACTGAAACCACCTGAGGTGGCTCTGATCTTGGAGCACAGATGTATCTCTGGAGTTTTCTCACCCCACGGTCTCAGATTGTGAATCGTTGTCTCAATTCTGGCTAGTGGCTACACAGGCTGGGTTTCCAAAGGAAGCTCTGGGGCCGGGGATGTGAGGGCTGTGGCCCAATATTTCTAAGCAGCCTTAGTTATGCCTCACCTTATGCCCTGGTCATCTTCTCATCAGCTGCCCTTCCCCCCCCATCCCTCTTCACTTCTGGAATCATGGTTTGTACATAAGTACTTAAATACTTTTCATTTCATTCATTCAGATTCAAAGCTACTGGAAAGAGTATGTCAATCCACTCCCTTATGGCCCTACTCAGCATACATGTGCCTCTCCAAAGCAAAATACCCCAACTTAGCCATCACTTCCTATATGTATTGTCTCCTATTAAAATGTGAGCATCTTAAGGGCAGGGATTATTTCCCCAATGCTCAGTATATAGTAAGAACTTAAAAAATGTTATTTTATTCATTCATTCATTCATGTTCACATCAACAACTGAACCAACACACTCAGAAGTTCGCAGTTAATTGTTCAGTTGGTATGTTAACAGCTGCCATGGATTTATCCTCTGTGGTCTGGGGGCAGCGAAGGACTTTTAGGTTCTAGCCTCAACTTCTGTAACACCTTTTTCTGAAGTACGGTTAGGCTCGCCCAGTCATTCCCCTCCCCACCCCTTGGACAGGTGAAATTATCTGTTCTGAAAATGCCTTGTTCCCTTGACTTCTGTCCCTGCATGCAGTAATCCCACTGTGATGAACAGCTTGGGACCAAAGCTGGCAGTCTGACTGACATACAGCATGCTTCTTGTCCTTATCCTGCCTCTACCCCAGGGGCAGAAGGCCATATCTGTAAACCAATGGTAAAGGAAACCAAATAGACTCACCATTCAAAGTCCCAGTCTGCACAGATGCATGGTTCAGAGACCACAGTTCCAGAGTAATCACGTCCTAATGCACACTGTGCTCCTGGCTTGCGTTTCTTGAATATCTTCCTTTCCCCCATGACACAAGGTTCTCCCTGTAAAAAAGAAGCCATAGTGAAAGGGCGGGGGGTGGGAGAGAGGAGGATGGCTTCTCGGCTAATATTATGTCTATTGTTCTATCATTTAACCGATGCCCCATGTCAGGCTCATGCTGAAAAAACCTCAGACCCACCATCCTCAAATTACATTTGGTGTGAGAATAAAGCTCATGAAGCTCTTCCTACTGAGGAGAAGGAATAACAGGGTAAGACTGGCCACCCAGGCTGCTGCCAAAAGGCAAAACTATTGCAATGTCTTTCCTGTACTCTACAAAGGGCAGAGGTAATACAGGTCATTTTCCACCCACAACGCACCGGCATCTAACAACTTTACTGGGCTCTAGTGAAGCACTACCATGGAGCAGAAAGGACCCCCATTTTGGTAATTTAGTTACTTCCTATCTAATTACTGTGCGATTATTGCACTAAGGGCAGCTAGATGGCACAGGGATAGAGTGCTGGCTTAGAGTCAGGAAAACTCATCTTAAGTTCAAATCCAGCCTCAGACACTTACTAGCTGGGTGACCCTGGGCAAGTCACTTAACCCCGTTTGCCTCAGTTTCTTCATCTATAAAATGAGCTGGAGAAGAAAATAGCAAACCACTCCAGTATCTTTGCCAAGAAAACCCCAAATGAGGTCAAGAAGGTCAAATACAACTGAAAATGACTAAACAATAACTATTATACTAAATGACAATTGTATCAGTTTTAAGTCAAATCATTTTATGTGGTTCAGATCATCACAACTTTGTAGAAAGAGCACTGGAGTTTGGAGTCAAAAGTTCTATCTGGGCTCAAATTCCAATTTTTCTACTTATTACCCATGAAACCTTATAGAAGTCACTTAACATCTTGGGGTCACAGTTTCCTCACCTGTAAAAATTAAAGTGTTGGACTACATGCCCTCTACTGTCCCTGACAGTTCTAAAGCAATGGCCCTACCATCCTTCCTTTAGCCTGTGATTCAATACCCAGCCTCCCAGTAGGCCACTGAACCTCCTTCAGAATCACTGAGATACCAAAGGAAATAGGACATCCTCAGTGGCTTTTCCTCAGAAAGAGTTAAAACCTTATTATCTGAGAATTACATCTAGGTATAAATTCCTTCCGGGGAAACTAAGTAATTCTCATCATGTCTTTCCTCTTTGTCCTAGGTAAAAGGACCCACAGTAAGAGTTTCTGCAAAAGCAATGTCAGGCATGTGGTGAAACTGTCAATTAAGTAGCTGGGCCTACCTGATTAAGCAAGTGCCAGGTCTCGAAGTCATCCTTGTTGCACCTTCGACTGAAGATGGATTTGTAGTCCACTTTCACCAGCTGCCACTCTGAACGGAGGCTGAAGTGGCCAAAAACTCTAAGGGTTGGAGGGAGAAGGAGAGATATATCAAGAGTCACGAAGGCAGTGGCAAGATTGGGCAAAAAGGATTGTTGAAAATAATTGCAAGCCAAGGCCATTCCACCGAAAGCTCCTTTCTTTCAGTCAGTCAATAAGCACTTATTAAGTGCCTACTATGTGCTAGGCGCTGTGCCATGTGCCGGGGATACAAAGAAAGGCCAAAGTCAGTCCCTTCCCTTAAGAAGCTCACAATCTAATGGGGGAGATGACATGCAAACAAAAATACATACATATATATATATATATATAGAGAGAGAGAGAGAGAGAGAGACCTATACATATACATACACACACATATACAATATATACAAACAAACCATATAAAGAATAAATAGGGAATAATTAACAGAGGGAAGGCACTAGAATTAAGAAGGGTTGGGAAAGGCTATCATAGCATTCATGGAGTTCTTTGGATAAAGGGATGTCTCTATGAGTATTTTTCTTGGTTATAGTCAGCAAAAATGCTTGGTTAGAAGCTCAGAAACATGATCCCTTCTGTATCATCTCTTATGCTACCAAAAACAACAGCAGTCTCAGAAAGGGGACTCATATGTATGTACAGTAAAGAGCCATACAACCTGAGAGACTACAGTGATCAATATTGACCTTTCCAAAGGCTAGCATTTGAAGGGTTCGATAAATATGAATGATCAATTCTTTCTAGAAAAGTAGAAAAAAAAAAACCCACAGATTTTCAAAACTCTGCCCTAGTTGCACATTATGGAATCACAATACAGCTGATCTATCAGAGTGATTTAAGAGGGTGAGGAATCATTACATTACTGGACCTCAATCCAAGTGGAGACCTGCCTTTCTGTGCATGGAATAATATCTATCTCTTCCTCATATCACCATATGGGTGTTTTTTTTCTGTCTGGGTTATGACATTCTCTTGGTGATACCTAAGACAATTAATAATTTCAGGGATTATTTTCTGCTGTCCAAGAAATATGTATATTTTGAGAATCCAAACTGCATTAAAGTAGGGGATACTCAAGTCTAGATCTCTGATTTCATTTGTTTAGAGAATTCCTAATGTGCACATGCCTTCTACCAATTCCTTAACCTCTCTGCAGTCTTTGACACTGTTGAGCACCCTTTTTTCTTTAATTCTCTCTTCTCTCTTGGTTTTCAAGATACCATTCTCTCCTGGATCTCTTCCTACTTACATATATATGCCTGTCCATTCTATCATATCTGTCTATATATCTGTCTACATATCTGGCTTTGTATTATATCTATCTATCATATCTGTATCTATCATATTTGTCTCTCTACCATGTCTATCTATCCATCTATCCTATTATATTTGTCTATCATATCTATCTATCCATTTATCTATTCTATCATATTTATCTATCTATCTATCCATCTTTCATATTTGTCTATTGTATCTACATCTGTCTATCCATCTATCTATTCTATCATATTTGTCTGTCTATCTATGTATCTATCTAACATTGGAAAAGGAATGTTCCACATAGTGAATTTTCTAGATACCTGAAGGTCTTTAAACACCAAAAGCTTTCTCTGTTTTAAACCATTTCTGATGGTAGTATTTCTAAAGCAGTTTTGTACCCTTCATTGCATTCTTCTATAGAGAACATTGAATAAACATCATTTAAACTTCTTCTGATGACTCTGACATCATTAAGAACTTCCTTCTTTATGCTTGGTGATACTATAGTTGTGGCCTCAGAGAATGTAGTGAAGCATAGGACTGTTTGCCCATATTCTAAATGGTCCTGAATTGTACCATTTTTAGTTGCTTGTTGTGTCAGATTTCCATAATTTTATCTCTCCCTTCTTTGCAGCTGCCACTTTTGCTGCTAACCATGTGACTACCTCTACTACCCCTTCTCTCACCTCCTAATTGTTACTTCTATTCTGATGACCAAGATGATAAAATTATATTTAATGTAAGAATTCATATGCTCAGAGGTTAGGCTTGGGAAGAGGAAGGTTGTCTTCTGAGAAAAGTGTGTGAACTTCAGTACAATGATTTTATGGCAGTTAGTTAGGAGACTAGGAGGCTTCACTGGCTTTATTCTTAGTTCTCCTATCTGTTGCGGATGTTTAAGACTGTCAGATACAGGACTGATATAAAAATGGGCACTATTCTGTTGGGGTAATTGAATGTAGCTACTTGTTCCCTGGTAGCATCTTTCCATGTCCATCCTCCAAGGATTTTTTTTGAAAAGTCCTTAGCTGTGAGGGAGACACAAGGAGAGGCCAGGGGAAAATATATGTATGTATATGTATGTATTCTGAAATTCTCTGAAAATCATACCAAAATATTACCTGTCACCATGTGACTGCTTACACAGAAGGGTATAAGTCCATTGTAGCCAAAGATTCGCAGAAGACTCTGGGATGGATATTGAAAATGACTTGAGATTGTTACTTTTTCCACAGGTCTTCCTGCCACCATTATTTCCCTGTCTCTAACTCACTCCCTAGTCCTATCTTTAAAAGGCCACTCATCTAGACTGACCAACTAGCCAAAGAAAGAACTTTGAGGGCCAGAGGCTATCAGTTGACTTTCCTTCTGACTTTTCAAGTCCTACCATCTCCAGGAAGCCCTCACTGACTACAGTATCTATAATAATAATGATAATGATGATGATGTTAAACAACTTTTGTATAGTACTTATTACGTTCCGGGGACTGTGGTAAGCACGTCATAATTATTATTTCATTTGATCCTAACAACCACCCAGGGAGTTAGGTGTTATTATTGTCCCCATTTTATAGACCTGGAAACTGAGGAAAATAGTGGTTAAGGGACTTGCCCAAGGTCATACAGAGGCTGGGTTTGAATTCAGGTTTTCCTGATTCCAGGCCCAGTGTTCTATCCACTGCATTACCTACCTACTTTACTGAACTTCTATAACTCACTTGCTATCTCTCTCACAGAATTATAGAGGTGAGAACAGACCTCAGAATCCATCTGGTACACAGTACAACCCATACCCTGAAGGAATCTCCACTACAACATATTCATCTGGCCTCTGCTTGAAGATCTTCAATGAGCAGGAAGCCACCCACCTCCCAAGGCACTTTGGAGAAGCTCTCATTGTTAAGATTATTTTTTTTTTCCTGACACCAAGCCACCCCTTGCTCCTGGTTCTAACCTCTGGAGCCCAACAGAATAAGTCGAATCCCTCCCTTATATGACAGCCCTTCAAATACTATTCCATTCTTTCTGACTCATCTTCAGGATGAACATCCCCAGTTCCTCCAACTGACCCTCTTTATGGCAGGCACTCATGGCCCCTCCACGGTTGTGCTGGAGACAGCTCCAATGATTTGGGAGAATCAATTGTTAAATTTTCAAAGTGAGCATTTGTACCTAAAAAGTAGGCAATCCCTACAAATCAGGGCTTGGTTTATGGTTTTGCTGATTGTCTAGACTTAAGAAAGTGATGGAAAAAATGTTAATAATGCAGATTCAACATAAAAGTGTGTCGTGTATACATTCTCTGCCCCTCCCCCAAAAGCTGGTTGTTAAACATTTACCAGCACACCACAACCACCATCCTTGTCTTCCTTTGCACACTCTTCATCTTCTCTATAGCCTTTTTAAACTGTAGTGTCAAGAATGGAACACAGCACTCTAATGGGGCTGATCAGGGCTGGTACAGAGGGACTATCACTCCCATCCTTCCTGTTCCTCTCTTAATGCAGACACAGATTTCATTAACTTTTCTGGCTATCACATTCTACTGTTGACTCCTATGGACTTTCCAGTCCTCTATAACCCCTAGCATCTTTATCAGAAAAACTGCAGTCTCATCATCACCCTCCCAAACCTTGAACTTGAGAAGTAGTTTGTTGTTGTTATTGTTGTTGTTTTTAGATCAAGTATAAGGCCTTACATTTATCTCTATTGAATTTTCAGCTTATTAAATTTGGGCTAGACCTTGTTGGATCTGAACTCTCTTATTCAGTATATCATCTGTCCTTCCAGCCTTGTGTCATCTGCAAATTTGGAAAGAATGCTATGATGAAATATATGTATCTGTGTATGTGTGTGTATATATATACACATATATAAACATATCCCATAACAAAAACTTGAATTAACTAAGAATTGATTCAGACTCTTCTTGAACACTGAAATGTGGTCCTTTTTCTGTTGCCTCTTTAACCTATACTCCTATGGTTTCTGGATTAGATTACTTAAAAAGTACACTCCTGGAGGATTTTCCAATTTACAAGTTGTAGCAGCATAAACAAAATATTCTTTATCTCATAGGCGCAATTGCCAACAGTATTGCTTATGTATTTGACTGCAAGTCATGTTCAAGCTCCTGTCCTGGGATTTTCTTTCTAAAGCCTTAAACAACATGGGATCATCCAGCCTGGGCTTTAGCCAGTGAGTTGCTCTGATCAGAGGGATCAGAACTCCAGCTTACTCCCTCTATGTGCTTTAAAGATGGTCAGAGGTGCTCACTGGCCCCATATCTGTGAAGACCCAGGTTCAGCTGTGTACTCCAGCTGGAATAAGGAATTCAGAACCCCTCCTTTCATATGGATCTAAATTCAGCCTCTCAAGCTGGAAGCCAGCTTTCTAGTTCTGGGATTTTGTTCATTTAAATTGTGTTATTTGCTCTCCTGATTAAGGTCTACCAAAGATAAATGCATTGTGTAGAAGGGAGAAGGGAAAGGGGAAGGGGAGGGAAAAGAGGAGGAGAAAAAGAGGGGGTTGGGAGGAGAATAAAGGAAGAAAAAAAGGAATGTGGGGAGAGGGAAGAGGAGAGAGAAGAGAAAGAGAAGGAGGAAGAATAGGAAGTAGAAGAGGAAAGAGAATTAAAGTGTGTATGGGAGGGTGGGGGTGGGGGTTGGTTCTTCTTCCTTTTCCAGAAAAGTTTTTAAGGAAATGAGAATCAGGCAAGGAAGGGCAACAAAATGAAAACAGTGAGTATGGTGTTGAGACTTCTCACTTCAGAGGATCT